TAATAACATTGGTTCTCTGATTGTGGAATTCAATATTAGTGGTAGAGGTAAATTATTGACTAATAACATTGGTTCTCACAAGCCGCAATAATTGACCTTTTAACGGAAGAGGGAAGCCACAATTATTGACTATTGAGGGATAAAATGGGAAGATAGAAATACGTCATGAATGAACAGTAGATGAATGATTCCCTCTTTTAATAGAAGAGGGATAAGATTGAAGAACCTTCGGATGATTTACATCTAAAATTCATTAATCGACCAAAAGTCAAATGTTTGACCATAATTTGACTGATTTTAAAAGGCATTTAACATTTAATTATTTAAAATAACGCAATTTGATGTGGAGATCCTATACCTTTAAAAATGTATAACGTGATATTAAACATTTAGTAGTTGTGCACCACAGGGCCTCTAAAGGCCTACATACGAAAACATGTTAGTTGATCAAGAGTCAAATGTCTAATTTTCTCAAAATACCACTTTACCCTTTTTAAAATTGGTCAAATTAACATCAAACATTTTATTTTTGATCTAATAGATTTTTGAATGAAAAACTTCAATACCTTTATTTCATCGAGAGTTATCCGGTGAAGAGAAAGATGACAAAGAATATTTAGAAAATCAGAGTATTTTGAGTTTTAATAACTAAGGCACTTTTATTGTGTGCTTGTAGGTATTTTTTTAACTCGATTCCTTCAATTTTTATGATTATGTATAATAGTACCTAAGGCAATTCCAAGAAAGGTTAAACATTAAAAAAAAAAAGAAAAAAAAAAAAGAAAAAACTATTTGGTAAAGATTAAAATCGAATTTTTAGTAAATTTTGATAAAAGTTGTGAAATACGTTGTTGAAAAGTTATGAATCTCATAAAACGTGTGTTCAAAATTAATTGTTGACTTCAACTTTAGATTTTAAGCAAAACCAAACGAGGGCTAAGTTTTTGTAGGTAGTGACAAATTTGACAATAGAGAAGAGAATAAAAGAAACGAGAGTAATACATGGACGTAAATAATGATTTGCATTTTTTAATGTGAAATTCTAATTAACTTATAATTAGAATTAATAATACTGAAATGCATAAATGAAGATGAGTGTGAATATTAATTAATTGAGAATTGAAAATAAGAAATCCATACATAAATGAAATCATATAGATGAAATGAATTCGACAAATGTACACGTATATTGATGGTAACTAAATGATTAAATAAATTAAATATATATTGAAAAACAAAAAACAATGTATTATTAAAATAATTGAATTATAATATGGTTAGAATTGTTCAAAAAATAACTATCACTTTATGTGATATTCACACACTGTTTGATCCACATTTTTACAAAAAATTATTTTTTTTAAAATTCATTTTTAACTATACATTTTTCAATAAAATAATATTACACGAAAAATTAGAACTTTTCCTTATCTTTTAATCACGCATTCTCTATCAATCTATTATTCTAAAATGTATTCATAAGAAAAAAGGGAGATCAAATAGGCTCTTAATGTTTTGGGGGATTGTGGTGGAGCGTCATGTTGCATAGATCAGACATGATCAAACTAGTCAAATCGGTCAAAAAAATGGGAATGTGGTTCAAAATCTAATATTATTAATGTAAAAATGCAAATTTAAATTTCGTGAAAAGAAACTCATAACAAGAACTTATTTTACCGATTTATCTTTTCATTCTTAATCCTTTATTTTAAAACATCGGAAGAGTTGATTTTTTGTATTGAATAGAATGCATGAAGAGATCTTGTAACTGAAATATTGATTCTCTCTCTACGTTTTATCACGAGAGAGAAACTTTTGATTATTTGGTAAGTTGTTTATCTTCATTCTTTATTTACATAAAATCATAAATTATTTTGACTTGATTTCTATTTGGATCGATAAATTACCAAGTGCATTGATTACATTTTCACAAAATAAAAAATAATAATAATAAAAATCATCATATTTCCCTAAAAACTAGATAGATTTATTCCTACTGTTTCCTTCAACTACCCTAGCCATTTTCTAATTCTGTGCCTCTGGGAACGAACCATTTTCTAAAAAGTCTCCTAAATTTGCCCGCTCGCCTTCGTTGAGAAGACATGGTACCTTCGTTGAGAAGACATGGTACTCATTTACGAGCTTATGGTGACTAACGATTACGTGCAATAGTCTACACTTGTCCATCCAAATAGTGGGGTGAGGTCGTAAATTTATATTACGGTATGGTACTTAGCGAGGAAGGTTGATGCAGAACAAGTTAAAATTCTATTCTTTATATTATTTAGTCTTGTCTAAAAACATGTCTTTTATGTTTCAACTTTTAAGGCAAAAGAAAGTAATTTTCAGTCATAAATTAGAAAATATAATGCCAAAAGCTGCCCTTGTAAACATTAAGAGCATTTATACAGGCAAAAGATTAGGAAAATGACAGAGTGCACGGAGATTTCCCAAGATAAGGACAGTGTGACTTACGGGTACATGCTCAAATCTAGAAATTCAATGCCTAAATAAAGAATATATCTCTTTATTAGTATATTTAATCACTAAGAGAGAGGGCGTGTCCCTCTGTAAAACCCAATACAACATACAGAATATAAGCCTCAAAGAACATTTCAAAGGAACATAAGAGAGAGAGGGTACAATATCCTCTGGTTTCTAACAAAAATACTATTAGCAGAAGAATTCATGGCATCAGAGCCCAATGGCGTGCATGAAAATGGTACATCTTCAACATGTGTTGAAAATGGAAAGCCACTGTCGATTGAAAGAACCGATGACAAGAATAAAATAGTGAGACACCCTCGATGGACGAGACAAGAAACACTTTTCCTCATAGAAGGCAAGAAGGTTGCAGAGGATCGAGGGCTAAAGGGTAGAAGATCCAGTTCAATTTTCGGGTCGGAACAGTATGAACCGAAGTGGGACTCAGTCTCATCATACTGTAGACAGCGAGGAGTGAACCGAGGACCAGTTCAATGCCGGAAAAGATGGAGTAACCTTGTCTGTGATTTCAGGAAGATAAAAATGTGGGAGTCTCAGGTAAAAGGAGTTAATGAATCGTTCTGGACAATGAGAAGCGATTTGAGAAGGGATAGGAGACTCCCTGGTTTCTTTGATCAAGAAGTCTACGATGTCTTGGAAGGAAAAACATTCATAGACGATGCATATCAACTAGCACTTGTGCCAGTAAGTCCAGATGAAAAGAATGGTTATGGCATAGATCGGGTTGGAGCCGAAGATGAGGATGAGATGGTGGGGGACGAGGAGGCTGAGGCAGTTTTCAATGGAAATTATCACAGCATACCAGAGGATAGCCTTTTCCCAGAATTTGAACAGGTCGCACAAGATGAAATCGGTGAGAGTCGAGGAAATGAAAAAGCTACAAAAGATGACAGAACAAAGTCAATTCCTTCACCAGTGCCAATATCAGGTATCTTAATCATCTTTTTCAACTATTGTTTCTCTGATTCTCTCCCTGAAATATACAACACTAAAAAGTTTTTCTATCATTGGCAGAGAAAAAATATCAACCATATCACGAGGCACATTCTAATCAAGGTAAGCTCCATAAATGTGTTATGATAATCTATTGTGCACATAATGCCTTTCGGACTTGAAATTGCAAGAGGCAAAAAGGTTTTGTGTTTTGATAAGAGTGAAGTCGACGAGATCCTATCATAATTGACTGCAAATCGTACATTTATTGCTTGTGATTTCGTTGTTTATCATGTTGAAGATAAAAGTATAAATAGAAAATATCCCCCCTCCCATCAGAACTTATGATTAGCTGACATAGTTCAACATGTTATCAGAGTAGGCAAAGATCATATACTCAAGGTTCAAAGCCACCCGTTCATAAAAAATTATGCGTGTTAGGCTTTTGACAAAAAAATTGAATCACGTGGAAGTGTGATGAAGATATACTGTAGATACATTTCTCCAATTCATAATGAATGATATTGATATGTGCATTTGCACTTATCAGGTGCAGAAAGAGGGAAACGGACACAGCCAAATTTCAAGACAGGATCTACTATGTTTCAGGAGGGAGTGAAGAGAAGAAGATTTTCATCAGATGGATGTCAAAGTATTGATGCAGCTGATCGCTTAATCAAAGTTCTCCAGAGTAACGCCAGTCTTCTGAATGCACAACTTGAAGCTCAAAATATGAACTGTCAAGTCGACAGAGAGCAGCGAAATGACCAGCACAACAGTTTAGTCATTGCTCTTAACAAGATTACTGATGCACTAGCAAAAATTGCAGATAAGTTGTAACTCCGAGCAGCCATAAATACCTATTGCATGTTATGTGCAGCCCGGTGTATTCATGTCCGTCTTACCAAACATGCCACTATAATCCGTGAAGTGTTCTTGTTGGGTACTTTAGAGTAGGGAGATCAAAAGTAGGGTTTTCACTGAATTTCTAAGACTTCTCCTGAATTTTCACTCTTAACCAATCAGCTCGTACGATAATTTGACTAATTCTCTGGTGAATTTTTGTACCATCAGCCATTATGTACTGTAAACGAATATCTTAAGTCGGCATATTTGGGTTAAAAAATTGGAACTCTAGCGTGATGGCTAGAGAACTAAATAAAAGTCACGAGTTGTTCATTTCTTGACCTTGAAATAATTAAAAAAACAGAAACTATTCAGCAAAAACTAAGCGTTCACGAAAAACTGAATGAGAATACGCGACCATACGCATATACAAAGGTGCAGCTGTGCAGAACTCCAGCAATATAGGTTGACACCATTTACACTTAAAGATAGAGATTAATGAAAAAATTTCCGCGAAGATAAAGGTTTAGTAACATAATTCTCTAACTGATATACAAGGAACAAGTCAATATATACTTAAGAGAAAAGAAGAAAATATTTGACCTTCTGTGTTAAGCACGAACAGCCTCGACGAGATTGGCAAAGTAAAATTGTGTAGTAATTAAACCTCTCTTTCTTATTCTCCACCCAACTTTTTGCAATGCTCTCTCCACATCAGCCTCGGCATGCAGATAAGCCCTTGTAGCCTTTGATGGTCCCGGGAACAACTCTCCAATTCTCTTCAACAGAGAATAGTAGAATGTCTTCGGGGCAAAGCTCAAAATCAATCGATTCTCAGCCAATGAAGCAAGATGGGCAATCATAGCATCTGCCTTACTTTGTGGATAGTGTATTAAAACGTCTAAACAGACAACTGTGTCATACTTCCCACTCAAGCTCTCTAAATCATTCACTTCAAATTTCGGAAGTACTAATCCCGGGGAGAGCTCATCTTTGCCTTCTAAAAGCTCTTCTCGTGCCTACAAAGCCATATAAAGAAATTTATGGAACCAATATCTTGAAGGACAGCATTAAAGATAATTTGATCAACTCGATATTCTGGTTATCCAGCACTAAAGTCTAGCTGTACAAATTTGAACAAATTCAATTATCAATAACAAGAGTAACGATTAATGAGCGATGAACACGAGTTAGATAAATCAATTTGTTGCTTTTAGACAGTAATTCAACATAACATCCTTTAGACGAGGTAGTTCAACGTAACATGTTGAATTCGATCTCACTATCAATCATTCATAGAAATTCTACACGCGTAAGACCTTTAAAAAAATAAATAAATTTATCGTCTCTTTGACAAGATTAAAACTTTTAAACGAATTAGTTCAAGAACGAATGCCCACCTTTTTCTCAGCTTCAGCAACCATGGCAGCCGAGATATCACTGGCCGACACCACAGCGCCCTCCTTCGCCAATGGAATCGACAAACTCCCGGTCCCACAACCTGCATCGCATACAGTTACACCCTTCAGTGACCCCTCATCCGTCAGCATCTTCATCACATTCTCCACAGTTTTGGAGTGCCCAATTCTTATGTCTAGCTGCACTTTGTTAACATCATCCGTCTCTCCATATATCCTACGCCACCGCTGGAACCCATCGTTGTTAAAGTACTCCTTAACCACTTCCTTGTCCCCGCCGCCGACCTCCTCCGCCTGCATTTGCCGCCGCCTCTCGGGGTCGGTGAGGGAAAGCACGGCCGCAAGTGCTGCAACTGAACTACCACCGATGACGGCTAGAGCAGTGCTATCGAATGGGTTTCCCACGAGGGAGACGTCGGTAGCGGTGGAGAGTGGCGGAATGGCGGCGAAGACTCCCGGAGTTTTATGGCGATGACGGTTAAGGGGTGTTGGTTTTGGGGAGAGTTTTATAGGACATAATAAGGACGAAGTGAAGGCCATTGTTTGAATCAGTTTGCGTCTCTCTCCAGCCGGCGGGAGAATTTCGTTAAAATTAGGATGTTTGCACATCAAGTTGATGATAATGTAATCCGGGAAGAAGGATAGGATTTGCCACGTGCCATTATGTGGGTCCCAAAAATAAACTCGTAAAAAGTTGAAGATCAACTTGTTACGAATACAATAGAATGTGGACCAATTCTGCTATTATCCCATTCAATTACTACTATACTCTTGTCGTTTCAGCTTCTACAGTTCGGATCCGTTTGCTTGTATGAATGAAATTTGGGTGGAAAGAAAATAAATTTCAGGGAATTGAATTATCTAAAACTTGTTTTATTGAAAATTTTCAATTAATTATGTTTGATTGGTATAATTTTCCATCTGAAAAATATTGAAATTTTGGATTTTTTGATATTCGTTTGGCTTTATTTTTCATCAAAATTGTCCATTAAAATGATATAATTTGTTACTATTTGGAATATAATTTGTTTTCATTGCCAACAAATTTTTTTTTTAAAAAAGGAAAAAGTTGCCCAAAAATCAAGAAAAATGACCAAAAAGGGAGTTGAATGGAAAACCATTTGCCAAGAAAATTTTGCCTATCAAACAAGAAAAAAATGTGAAAAATAGAAAACCAATTCCTAATTCCATGAAAAAGAAATACTATCAAATAGGGCTTTAGCTCTCAGCTCTAAGAAAATAATAAGAATTACTTATTGAACTCTAATTTGACAAAGCTTTTATATTATTAAAGGCATGTTTGGCATAAATTTTACTTTTACTTCTTGTAAAAGAGTTTTGGGAATAACATACTTTAATTTTTGTTTTGAAAATTAATTTTTAAAAACACTTTCTATTTCGAAAGTTCTTTTAAAGAAAGTCACATCGGATCAATTTCCTCTAAAAATTCTTCTAACAACAAGGAACACCTTCATAAAATTAGTTAAAGGGGTCCAAAAGTAATTTTTAGATCTCAAAAGCTCATTTTAATTTCTCAAAAGTTATATATCGTTTTAAATTAACGGACTCCTAATTTTAAAATGTTTATAACAGTTAAATGGCTCTATGGACTGCCTGCATTTCCTTACACACTCCTCATCTCCATGGTTAATGATGTTCGTCTAGAGGTGGAGCCTGAATGTTTAAACTAATTGATTTCGTTAAATGTGATGACCGATTTAGCTACAGGTTTGAGGACAATGCAGAATGTCGTCAATGGAAATGACATATCGATTGAAGCGAGACTTAAAGTCGTATTTTTGGCATCTCGTTAAAACGTATAATGGTTTTTCTTTAGTATTTTTGAAGTACCCACGTCAAGTTTAATTGAAATAATTAATTTCATTTTCAGGTGCCATATCAAATGCCAATTATCGAGATGTCACTGTGTAAAGCTTACATCAGTTTAATTCGCCTGAATAGCATTTGGTGCTAAATGTGAAGTCTATAAAAAGTGATGCTTAAAAGGTGAAATTCATAAATCGTTTCGCAAGTAAGATTGCTTGGACCAATAATTGGGGCTAGACAATTCTCAATTCGGCCCAACCCACTTATTTCCACACGAGCCCCCAATAATTTTCAAATAGGTGTTTATAATCACACCACTTTTTTATTTTGAAAGATCATCAACTTTTATTCATTATTATACTTATATTCTTTATTTTTTTTCTTCATCTCATACTTATTTTTGACATTTTATTGATTAGAAAACTATGTCTTTAATTATGGTTTGTTCCAAAAATATTTTAGTGTGCTTTAAAATAAAGGTCAAATATTTAATCGCATTTCTGCATTGTTATTTATTTTATTTATTTAAGAATATAATGGATAAATGAGTCTTTTTTACTTTATCTAAAAATAAATTATGGAGATAAACCATCATCAGTAACAATTTAGATTAATTTGAAGATAAGAATGAAACGAAAAGATATTTAGACATAAATATGATAATATGTAAAAGTTCTTAATTTTTCATGTAATTGGTGTGAATATATTTAGCGCCTGTCTGGGATGGATTATAAGTGAAATTCCTACCGTTAAATGCCCAAAAATGCCATTTTGTGACCGTTGAGCATCAAATCCGCCAGCCAAAGTTGACCAGTTCTCTCTTGCGTGGGTCCCAGCAGAGGAAGCAACGGTCCAAAAATCCATTCCCAGAAGCGGCGCCAGACAACTCCTTAGCTTTTCTAAATAAGGAATAATTACACTGTAAACCTCCTTTTTCACTAAAAGTTCAAAAATATCCTCTTTTTAAATTTTAAGCTACATATGAATCACACCTACTAAAATACTACAATTTTTCTATTTTATAAACTTTTTATAAAAAAAAAAAAAATTACCAAGAGAAAGTACAATAATTTAAGGGGGTGTTTAGGAGAGATTTTCAAATTCTACAGTAAATCAATTCTCATTTTTAACCATACATTCTTCAATAAAATAATATTTTTCATCACATCAATAATTTTTTTTCTTTTTTAATCACACATTTCTCATCATATCACTATTTAAAAATCAATTCTTCTCCAAAAAATTCATCCCAAACAAGCTCTAAATATTTCAAACCCTAAAGCCAATATCTACGGTGGCTTGCTCCCGTCTCCATCGTCATGACCATCACTTCCACCATGCCAAACCTTATCACCAACACCTCCATGGCATCAGCGCTGACCGACACTAAAGTTGATTTGTTCTCCATTGAACTCCATTGCCATACCTCTCATTCCTCAAACATTCTTGCAAGTTTTCTCCAAGATATAATTGATTAATTTTGGGGCTGTAGCGACTCGAGTCTCGTGCCCAAGTCGATTGATACCAATATTCAACATAAATTTATAAAGTAAATGTCTTAGGTTTGAATATTAAAGGATACGATAGAAAGTTGTGAGGGGATAAAAGGACAAATGTCCTTCCAAAACGGATACTATATATAATATAACGGTTTGGACACGAGGTTTGGATCATTACACAAAAAAAAAAAAAAAGGGCATTTTTTGTAACGACCTGCATTCGTGCCTGACCGTTATAAAAAAATACGCACTTTTGTAACCTGAGCTTCATGTCCACGCTGTTATCTCTTTCTCTGTCCCTCTCCGTATACTAACCTCCTTGCTTCACATTCATTCGCTATATACTTGCTCAATGGAACTTGCTTTTATAGGGAGAGAAAATTGAAAACAGCTAGAGTGAGAAACATAGAGGAAAGAAATTCACTGAAAATCTCCCGATTCACCAAGATTTCTATCTGTATGTGTGTAATTCTTTTTATGCGAAATTATTTGTGGGCTCGAAGTTGAAAGTGTGATTTTCTGTTTATCCTTTTGTGGGGTTTGGTTATGGGAGATCTGAGTTGAAAAAAGGGGTAAACAAATGGCTACTTCAGAGATGTCGATCGACTGAGGCTCACAATCGTTGATGCCGGAAAAAATCACTGGCGCCGGAAAGGGTAATTCAGACGATTTTACGGCTAGTCCTTAGTTTCTTACCTTGGTTATTTGTTTGGTTTATTTGTAACACTATGTTTTTGTTTAATATTTTGGGAATTGGGTGATTTACAATGGATGCTGAGACAGCGTTATACACGGAGCTATGGAGGGCATGTGCTGGTCCTTTAGTTATCGTGCCTCGTGAACAAGAGCTCGTTTTCTATTTCCCCCAGGGTCACTTAGAAGAAGTTTTTTATTTGTTGCTTTTTTTCTTGTGTTAAATATTTGCACGATAATTTAGAATTTATTGAGATAATTCTTATTTACTGCCCGTTTAAGATTTATTCGGGGGTTTAATTTAAAAGGTTATAGACTTAGTTTGTGTTGTTCATTCATGATGTTGCTTTATTTAGACCATGCTTCTTAGTTGCTGGAGCTTATTGATGTTTTTATATAGGTGGAGGCGGCAACTAGTCAAAGTGCAGACCAGCAGATGCTCGTGTATAGTCTTCCACCGAAGATCCTTTGCCGCGTGGCTAATGTTCTGTTAAAGGTAGTTTGCTTGTTTGAAATTTGATCGATTTGGTTGTTTTTTAATCTATTTTTGGATGCTGCTCTGTGAATAGGCTGAACCGGATACAGATGAGGTGTTCGCACAAGTAACCTTGATGCCTGAATCTAATGTAAGTTGAATCGTGATGATCCAGTATACTCGAACTTTCAAATTTGAATTGAAATTTTCCTTGTACCTTTTTTGATGCCTTAGTATTTCAGCAAGACGAAAACACAGTGAAGAAAGAACCATTGCCACCGCCCCCACCATGTTGTCGTGTGCATTCTTTTTGTAAGACATTGACTGCCTCAGACACTAGCTCACATGGTGGATTCTCAGTGTTGAGATGACATGCTGATGAGTGTCTACCCCCTCTAGTTAGGACTTTTTACCTCAATCTATGTCTGATGTACGCGTTTCCATTTGTTAGAATTCAAGGTCTTAAAAAAAGTTGTTTGTTTCCTATGACAGGACATGTCATGACAACCTCCAACCCAAGAGTTGGTGGCAAAAGATATGCATGGCAACGAGTGGCTATTCAGACATATCTTTCGTGGTAGGCAATAAAGACTGACTTTTTCTTGATCACCTTAGCTCATGCTTGTAGTGTCACCGATCACGTCTGATCTATTGCATATGATGTCTGTGGTTGTATGAAAAAGAACTGAAAAGTGAAATCTACTAATACAAATTACATAATTAACTGGAACTAGCAAACATATAAAGCCTGGGCCAGATGGTGGCATTATTTTTTTTTTCTAGGTGGAATGCTTTTGAATTGGTGTCGTATGGGTTATTTAATGGATACTTTAGTTTTCCTGTAATACACTTCTCTCAGAATGTGTTTTATCCATTCATTAAAGGTTTTGGTATGACTGTTATCCTGTAATTTTGCAATTAATTTACTAAATTTCAGGTCAACCACGAAGGCACCTCCTTCAGAGTGGTTGGAACGTCTTTGTAAGTTCAAAGAGGCTTGTTGCAGGGGATGCCTTCATATTTTTAAGGTTTTGTGCAATATTAGTGGCTGTCTGGGCGCGCTTATGGAGGAGAAAAAATCAAAATTTTAACCGTTGCAGCCCACAATTGTTTACCCTCTCTCTCACGGCTGGGACCCACTTGTCTCCTCCAACGGTAGTATTTCTGATTTTAAGTGGGCATTTAATTGGAACCAGACATGCTCTTAATATCTCTATGTCTATACAAACTTATTTTCATGCGTGGTGTGTGTAATGTGAAATTTGTAGGAGTGAGAATGGGGAGCTTCGTGTTGGTGTTAGACGTGCCCTGAGACAAGAAGGACACTTTCCATCATCAGTCATATCTAGTCACAGTATGAATCTTGGTGTGCTGGCAACAGCTTGGGCTCCTATGGGTGATGCAAACAAATTCACCCTCCATAACTTATAGAAATGTGGATGGTCTTTTATTCTGTTGGTTGTTGACAACAGCCCATTGTGAATACTATTCTGTATTTTATTATTCTTTAATGCAATTGAATTTTGCTACAGTAAGAACGTGACTTTGCTTCTGTCAAATAAACATCTGATGAATCTGTTTGTGATTTTGAAATGTGAAAGTCTGCACCCATAAAAGTATGCGCAGAATATAGAAGAAAGATAATAATCAGATTATATTGTATGTTTTGCACTCTTCTAATTGCTATTCTCCTATAATATGTGGCGGGACAAGCCCATCTGAGTATATTGTCTCTTATGATCAGTACATGGAGTCCATGAAAAATAATTATGCAATAGGAATGAGGTTTAAAATGAGATTTGAAGGTGAAGAAGCTCCAGAGCAGAGGTAGGCAGCATGTTTGCATCATGAAGAATTCACTAAACTGTTGTGGAGTATTTGCAAAATAGCTATCTTCTGATTTGGTAATGTTACGATCAAATGTTAAATCGCTAAGTTTTTAGGTTTACTGGAACTATAGTTGGTATTGAGGATGCTGATCCGAAAAGATGGCCAGAATCAAAATGGAGATGTCTAAAGGTAGGTACTGCTGTATTTGATGAAGAATGCTCCCCCTTTTTAGATCTCATGCTGAAGTTGTATGTCTTAATCTACATTAAGGTGCGATGGGATGAAACTTCCACCATTGACCATTCCTCGTCCTGAGAGGGTTTCACCCTGGGAAATTGAACCTGCACTTACTGCTGCCGCTCTTAATCCGCTTCCAGTGTCCAGGCCAAAGAGGCCTCGATCAAACATCTTGCTATCATCTCCAGACTCTTCTGTCTGTACAAGGGAAGGTATTTTTCAATCTGACTGAGTTTTCTTTTAGCTAATTATTATTTTTACTTTATATCTAGCTGACTCAAATGGGTTTCACATATTCATTTGAATGTAGCTTCATCTAAGATAATGGTGGACTCTTTAGCAGCCAGTGGTTTTCCTAGAGTCTTGCAAGATCAAGAGTTTTCCACCTTGAGAGGCACTTTTGTGGAGAGCTATAAGTTGGACTCTTCTGAAAAGCCAATGTTATGGCAACCTTTATTAGATGATGAGAAGGTCGATGTTTCCACAACCAGAAGATGTGGATCAGATAAAAGGTTTCCTCTAGGAAGGCAAGAGTCATCATTCACAGATTTCTTATCGGGTTTTGGGACACAAATCAATTCCTCCCATGATTTCTGTATGCCTTCTGGTGATCAAGCAGGAGTTATTGCGAAGCGTCTAATGCAAGAGCATGAAGGGAAATTCAACTCAATCAGAAACACGAGGTCTAACATTCATTCTGGTCTTTCCCTTAATTTGATGGATTCTAGCATTAAAACTCATGGACAAGGGGATATGAGGTATGGTGGTTTCAGACAGTATTCCATGCTTCCTGATCATAGAGCTGAAAATTTGCCTAGTAATTGGTTGATGCCACCACCAATTTCATCTTATCTCCAAACACCACCTGCTATGTCTAGAGAGCTGGCGCCAAAGTCTTCATTTCAGCAACAGCACAATGGCGGGAAACCCAAAAAAGGGAACTGCAAACTTTTTGATATTTCCCCTAGAAGTAGCTCCATTCCAATGGAGCCTACATTGCCACATATAAATGCGTTAGCAGATCACGTGCTTCTTGGGGTGAACTCTCACAAATCCACTGCACTTGAATCTAATCAAATATCTAAATTAGTTGATAATCAATTTGCCAGTAGTGAGCAGGATAAACAACGTCAAACCTGTGTTCCTGTTTCTAGCGATGGGGAAGGCAAAGGCCATTCTGGTTCAATGAGGAGTTGCACCAAGGTTTTGATTTAGACTTCTATATTCCTTTTCAATGAGGCTATTAATTGACTTCTAATATAAAATGGCATTGCCATCCCTCTTATCATTTTCATTTCAGCTTCATAAGCAGGGTATCGCCCTTGGTAGATCTGTGGATCTTGCCAATTTCAACAACTATAACGAGTTGATTGCTGCATTAGATGATATCTTCGAATGTAATGGTGAGCTGAATTCTAAGAATAAGAATTGGCTTGTGGTGTATACTGATGATGAGGATGATATGATGCTTGTTGGAGATGACCCATGGGAGTAAGATATCCTTCTTGCTGCTCTCTAAAATGTTCTGAAAGTTTGGATTAATTTTGATAACCAAAACTCATTGGTATGGTCTTCATGTTATCGCTTGCTTATTGACTGTTGCCTATCTATCTCTTGTCAAAAATAGTGAATTCCGTTCCATGGTTCGGAAGATCTTAATTTGTACAAAAGAGGAAGTCCAGCAGATGAACCCAGGGACCTTTATTTCAGAAGGAGAGGATTATTCATCAGTTCTGGAAGGCTTGGATGCCAATGAAGAGAAGGATCTAATACGTCCTTCAACATCAAGCCCAGATGATTGCTAAGTTGTCCACCTTTATCTAGGTGGTTATTTTATATTTTCAACTTTAAAATAGCTACAAGGAAAATGAATCCTCATAGAATTGTTAGTTTATTCTCGTACCTGCTCCTGTTGTGTGCCCTTCAAATTTTTTTTGGGAAGTTTCACAAGTGTGTTGAGATATGTATGCATACCGATTGGGGAAGGGTTGGGGTCAGTTTGGAGTAAAAATGGAAAAATTGAATTCTGCTCTTGGAAGATCCATGATGGCTGCTAATAAGTGAACTTGATGCTAAACAGGTATATATAAATGCATGACTTGGAGAAGACTTCTAATCCATGAGCTGTTGATTTTTGGCGACATCAGATATCATATGCTTATGCAATCCCTTCAACCTCTCGATGGCTGGATTCTAATCCATCACCTTATAGTTTATGATGAAATGCATACCATATTAAGAGCAAGGCGTAGATGCCATATTTTGCTTTCAACCATTTACCTTGTACATATTCACCTTTTTTTTAGCGATTATTGATGCAAGAGATTGATACATAACCTCCAGCACCTTATTGTGATTTCTGTAGTATTGAATCAATTACGCGCGCATGATATATATAATGTCATCATTATTTAGTCTACTAAAGATGGGGAGTATAGTCCCTATAGCTGAAATTCTTTTGTACAACGGTTTTTCCAGCTGCCTAAGAGACATTGGTTTGAAAAGCAATGGATTTTGCTTGCTCATTCTGATTTAGTCAAGTTTCCCGGAGTTATAAAAGGCTCTGCTTATTTTATAAGATTTTTGCACCTGAACTTCAAGGGAGCAGAAAATGTGGTATACTTTATGAAGTTCTGGATTCTCGTTTTCTTTTCTCGTCATTTTCGGTCCGGTTATTGAATTATATTAGACAGTATTGAAGTTGAAAAGCTTGTAATAAAAAATTTCCGAAATTTTGTTAAGTCATGTGGATTTTGTATGCACAAAAGTTTTACATCTCAATTTGGACTTGATTTAAAAATTTAAAAAAGTACATGTTCCTACGTGGGTCATATGACAATTTAACAGCAATTGAGTCGATTTATGTCAACTGAGACGAATTGTGCAACTATATTGACAAGATAGGAGACTAACTTGCTCTTTTTGGAACGCTAATGATCAAATTTCTGTTGAAATTATAGGTTGGGGACTAATGTTGCAAATTTCTCAAGTAAAACTATTCAACTGCTTTTTTATTATCATTATTTGAAAATTCTTTTTTCTGTATATTTATTTTTAATTAAATATTTACATAATAAAATATTTTATATGTAAATTCAAAAAAATTTCTTGCCTTCTAACCACACATTCTCTTAAAAATTATTATACAAAATATTGTTTTTCTTATAACAATGATGGGCTTATAACGCCAATCACTGGCCATCATCAATAATTCTTGACTTTCATTAGTACTTGAATCGAATGGTCTGTGTTAATGGAGGAGATACTTTCAAAAACAAGGGTACGACGTGGAAAAACAAAAGGACAGTGCTAGAAAAACAGGGCCAAAAAAAAGGGAATTGGATACAGACACACTTGGCATCAAAACATTGGGGGATGAGAAAATTTAAAAAAAAAAACCAGCAAGTCAGGTGACGCCACATGTATCTGTTTTTTATCCTTGTCTNCCACAAAAAAGGTGTGATTTGACATAAAGAATGCATTCTTTTCTAGAATAATGGTTACCAAACGGTGCCTATATTATATATATTACAGTGGAGTCATCAAACTTTGTAATATACATCAATTTAGTCCTCTATCAATTTTTTGCACGTGTCCATAGCGCGAGTGTGGGGATAGTGGCTGTGCCGCTATGTTTTCTTCTTTACTCTTCCTTTCCTTTCCCTTTTTTTTTAAAAAAAATTTTTTAGTTAATTTTAAAGACAAATACACACTTGAAATTCGAACAGTGAAATTGAAGAAGTCTGTCCAATCACGTTCACGAAAATTAAAAGTTTGAGGATTCATTTGCTATAGATAATTAATAAAGGACTTAAGTTCTAATTTATAAAGCTTTGGAAAACAATTGTAATTATACTTTTTATGTTTGAAGGGAAGCTGAAAACGAGCCCTTTTTCATCCACATCTGATCTCTATATCTTCTACATCACTCTCAATTGCCCTAACATCCGGCCGTCCCCCTCTCTCTCTCTTCATTATTCAGAAACCCTTAATAATTCTCTCATTCTTCTTTCTGTTAATCTATTTTTCATTCAGGTAAAGTATACATTTTCTTGTTGACCTAATTTATATTTGTGTGTCCGAATTGAAATTAGGTTTCTATTGATGTTATTTGGGTTCATTTGATGCTAATTGAAGGTTTTTTCTGTTTTGTTCTTGTAATTTAGAGCTGGTTTTTGTTTTAAAAATCTGGTCTTTAGCTTTACCGATTAAAGTTTGTAATGTTGAATTAACATTCTTTTTGAATTGATTAGTTAAAATTATGTTATTAAAAAAAAGGCAATGTAATGAAATTTTAGCTAGTATCTATTATTTCTCTGTGGTTCTTTTTAGATTATGTGAGCTAGTACTAATTGAAAGAGCTAATATGTGTTTTATGTGCATTTAACAGCTCTGGCGCTTGTATGAATTGTTATTACATAATTCTCTTTTCATTTTACTTGTTTTTCTATTTTACCACAAGTATGTTCTTTTCTTGCCCAATTTTTTTTTTCTGTAGATAGATGGTGAAATTATATCATAGATTTATGTGTCTGTAGTAAGATGCGAGAGTAATATAATAATAATAATATGCGCTAAGGTGTTTCCTAAAATCCACTGTTTTTTTAATATATGGTATCATTGACTGTTGGCTGACTAGAGTTCTATAATAATAACATGGTATCATTTCGGCTCCCTGAATCTGGCTACTTAAAGATAAAGCACTAAAATAAAAACTTGTGTGGTATTGTAGTTTTTAGAAGCTCATTTTTATGGCTCCCTTTTTAGGTTCAAATTTACGTGTTCCATACTCGAAAACTTGTGTTTTCATTGGATTTTTATTTCTGATTATTTCCCTCAACTGAAGGTGTTTATTCTTTAGTTTAATATTATGGAATTAATCGAGTTGAATAATTGCATTAGCTTAGCGGTGAGCGTGCAATCCCTTCAGCCAACTCCCTTGCTTCAAGATTCATATTTTAGATCTATTTTTCAAGAAATTATTGTTTTTAGTATATCCAGATCTTCGTATAAAATTGCAGAGACCTTTCTACGTTATTTTAGCCTCCTGTCGCATTAAATTTACATGTATTGAACAGTTGAAGTGACTTTCTTGTGTTCTCATGGAGCATTTCAATGTGGTCTTTTGCTTCCAAAACTGGAAACTCTGGGTTATTAGGTAGTTGTGGGTGTGTATGGATCCTTTCATGTCCAAATACCCACTAATTGACCCTTTTCGTTGCTTCTAGAAAGCAAAGTTATAATTTTAGGATGTTTCTACGTTATAGATTGCATAGAGCATGTTTGTTGAAGGTGGGATTCATTTTTTTTGTTATGGTGACCATATGTAAATATCCCACATTTCCATTTAGCATTGACGTGCTTCTGTTCAAGCTTGTCTCGCAAGAAGAAATTTAGCAAATTATGCTCGCTATATATGTTGCCATCACATATTTTGGAGCTTCAAGTAGAATTGTTTTGTGCTCACAACTGTCTAATTGTCATTTCATATGTAGATCCCTTTAACGCAGTCATGGCAAGAGCTTTAGTTCAGTCAACTAATTACCTTAATATAGTTGCCGGTGGAAGAAATGGACAATTAAAGGGATCTGGGAGTACAAAAAGAATGGTAACAACGTCGTGTAGTTTACAAACAATGCCTCTAAGGATCAGGAATTTCTCAGGATTGCGAGGATCCAATGCCTTAGATATGATGCTGAGGCAAACTGGCCAGTCACTCCAATCGAAGGTATCTGGTGTCACCTCTGTTTCACGGAGAAGAAAGTGCCGGATCGCACCACGAGCCATGTTTGAGCGCTTTACAGAGAAAGCAATAAAAGTTATTATGCTTGCACAAGAGGAGGCAAGACGGCTTGGTCATAATTTTGTGGGAACTGAGCAGATTCTGTTGGGACTTATTGGTGAGGGCACTGGCATTGCTGCTAAGGTTCTCAAGTCGATGGGAATTAATTTGAAAGATGCCCGTGTGGAGGTGGAGAAAATAATTGGAAGGGGCAGTGGATTTGTTGCTGTGGAGATACCTTTTACTCCTCGTGCAAAGCGTGTTTTAGAACTCTCGCTGGAGGAAGCTCGCCAGCTAGGTAACTTTTTCATTATTTCTTTTAGTATGTGCTAGTTTCTTGAGATTGTCGTTGCCCAGTCAACTATTCCTGGTACACATTTTAAGCTCTTACTTCATCAAATTCTAATATACAGTTTTACTGTTCCAATCTTATTTCACTCTGCTTGGGGTCGCATATAAAATTATAAATAAAGTTTCTATTTTTATGTTAGCTTCATATTTATCCTCAGGACACGTGATTATTTGTGTGGATTATTATCAATTTCTTTTTCTCTGAAATTTGATGTGAAATTTATTGCCTTTTGATGTAGGTCACAATTACATTGGATCAGAACACTTGCTGCTGGGATTGCTTCGTGAGGGTGAAGGTGTGGCAGCTCGTGTTCTTGAGAATTTAGGTGCTGACCCAAGTAATATTCGTACACAGGCAAGAATAACTACTACTCTTTGCTCTCTGTCAACTATTTTTTGTGATTCCCCTTAAAACTGACTGTATGTTGATCCCTTTGGTGGATTAGGTTATTAGAATGGTGGGCGAGAGTGCGGAAGCTGTTGGTGCTGGTGTTGGAGGTGGAAGCTCAGGCAACAAGATGCCTACACTGGAGGAGTATGGTACTAATTTAACCAAGCTAGCTGAGGAGGTAAATCTTCTGTATTTCTTGATGCCTGCAAGCATTAAGTTTTCATTGAGAGCTAAAAGGTGCTCGATGTCTTGGTTTTAGGGTAAATTGGACCCTGTTGTTGGAAGGCAGCAGCAAATTGAACGTGTCACTCAGATTCTGGGGCGGCGTACAAAAAATAACCCCTGCCTCATTGGAGAACCTGGTGTCGGGAAGACAGCTATTGCGGAGGGCCTTGCTCAGAGAATTGCCAACGGGGATGTTCCTGAGACCATCGAGGGGAAAAAGGTAAAATACTATATGAAGCCTCGAAGAGAAATAGGCAGATTGGTTAACTGGTACCCTAAGGTTGCGTTTGACGCCCCTGATAAGACCATATAAGAAATGTAGTATAAATTTAGAATAGATTGTACTAGATTGATGGTATTATGGTGTAAATATATTCTTTGATTTTTTAGTAAAAAAAATCATTTAACGTATGGCATAACATAATGCGGAGGGTTGAGTTGGGTTAGGCTGGATAAGATAACATAGTTTAAAGACATTATTTAGAATGAAAATCAAAGAATATCATTCACCTTAATCCACCATAATACTATTACCCACCACAATATATTCTAATTTTATACTAAAATTTTTACGGTCTATTCGGGTTCACCAAACACAACCTGAATGTCCCATGAGTAGAAGTATGAGTTGGATGGCCTTTTTCAAGGGCCCCGATTTGGTAATCCTCTATAAATTTGAACAGTTCTTTCCCTCTTTGTAGTGGATCTTGGAGATCCACTAAGAATTTTGAAGAAGATTTTAAAAGTATCAAAACAATTCCCTAACATGCATTCTTGCTTAATTATCCATTCTTTGATGGTCTCGGTTCTATGAGGGTTTGTACGGCTTTTATAATTCATATTATCTGGATTCAAAATAAAATGTATTGTATACTATAGCCTATTTGGTTCTGTGATACTGATACCCACACTCCCTTCCCCTTTTGTGCTTTCAGTTTATATATTTCGTAATTATAGTTTTATTTTTTAGTGGAATAAGTAAGCCTCCCCTTGGCAAACTTTATAAATCAATTTATAAATGGTCAAACTTCATTTTCAATCACACGTTGCAATGGACCCACAGGTTTTATCCACTTATCCACCACTTCTATCTATTTATAAATTAAATCATTTATAAGTTCTATCCCAATAAAGACTAACTTAATGTTTTTTATTAATACTGAAAACCTACAGTATTTTGATACAGCAATAAAAATTCCTTTTCCGTCCTTTCAGGTTATAACCCTTGATATGGGTCTTCTTGTTGCGGGGACAAAGTATCGAGGTGAATTTGAGGAAAGGCTGAAGAAGCTGATGGAGGAAATTAAGCAGAGTGACGAAATTATACTTTTTATTGATGAAGTGCACACATTGATTGGAGCAGGAGCAGCTGAGGGGGCGATTGATGCTGCAAACATCTTGAAACCTGCGCTAGCTCGGGGTGAATTACAGGTTGGTAGGGCCAAAATTGAACCATCAACTCTTCCATATATAGCGTACAGATGCATTTGATGTTGTGCATCTTTGTCACATTCTTTAAATTGTGAATTACTCTTCCTTCTGGAAATATTTGAAAATGAGACAACAATTTCTTTAGTTTTATTATCTTTTGGAAATCTTATCTTCCTCTGTGTTCCACACTTCATTTCCTTACCTCAGTGTTATAAGTATGTTTTGCAAAGGGTTGCAAATGGTTGCTTGGGTGCATTCAGCCTTGACTTATTTGCTATATGGTGCTATTGAATGACTTTTAGTGGCTCACAGTTTTGATGTACTAAGTTTAACGGGAGTGCTTCATATGTCTTTCCCATCTTTTATTAGTCGCCACATTTGTTTGATATCTTTTTATCATGCTTTTATCTGCATCAATCAAGTGTATTGGGGCTACTACGCTGGATGAATACAGAAAGCACATTGAGAAAGATCCAGCATTAGAAAGACGGTTCCAGCCTGTCAAGGTCCCGGAGCCTACTGTGGATGAAACAATACAAATTTTAAAAGGGCTTCGCGAACGATATGAAATCCATCACAAGCTTCGTTACACTGATGAAGCTTTAGTTTCTGCAGCTCAACTGTCATACCAGTACATCAGGTAGTATTGTTTTGGAGAAAAAAATAAATATTATAGTTTTAATCTATAAATTATAATGTTGAATGGGACGGGAGGATTTGAAACATCCAAATAACGGTGCTTCCCATCCCCCCGTTTAGCCCCTGTTTGGCCCCAATAAAATTAGAATTCATTTTTCTCTCTTCTTATCAACCACATATTCTCCAATAAAATAATATTACACGTAATCCCAATTTTTTTTTAACCATACATTTTTCAAAAAAAAAAAAAAACTATTCCAACCATTAAAATATCAAATAATGGGGGCCTAATGGGGGCTAGTTGTCTTTTGATCCTAGCAATAGTCACATACGTACGCACCGTAGTCGGATGTTGATTGTAAACTCTATACTCATCTCTGAATATTCTCCTTGTATATTTCAGTGATCGCTTTCTTCCAGATAAAGCCATCGACTTGATTGATGAAGCTGGTTCCCGGGTTCGACTTCGTCACGCTCAGGTATGGGATTTTCTTAGTGATGCTATTTTCCTTATCCGAACCAATCTATAGCAACGGTTTTATCTTTTGCAGCTTCCTGAGGAAGCTAGGGAGGTAGAGAAAGAACTCAGGCAGATCACGAAGGAGAAAAATGAAGCAGTCAGAAGTCAAGACTTTGAAAAGGTGAATTATAACCTTATAATACATATCCCATTTTGTAGTTCAATAAGAGTAAAGATATAGGATACTGAGTTTTCTTTCATGTTTCAATATGATGCTAATTCTTAAGCTGTTTAGTTGCCGAGTGTAATGCACAGCAGGATTTCCTAGCACCAGCTTTATCAGATGAAGCTTATGATACTTTAATTAATGTGCAGGCTGGGGAGTTACGTGACAGGGAAATGGATCTAAAGGCACAGATATCTGCTCTTATAGACAAAAACAAAGAAATGACCAAGGCAGAGAGTGAGGCAGGAGATGGAGGTCCTGTTGTGACAGAAGTTGACATTCAGCACATTGTTTCTTCTTGGACGGGAATACCTGTTGAGAAAGTGACTAATGATGAAGCTGATCATCTCCTCAAGATGGAGGAGACACTCCACACACGGATCATTGGGCAGGATGAGGCTGTCAAAGCCATCAGTCGTGCCATTCGCCGTGCCCGTGTTGGTCTTAAAAACCCCAATCGGCCTATTGCGAGCTTTATCTTTTCCGGGCCAACTGGTGTTGGAAAGTCGGAACTGGCTAAAGCACTAGCAGCCTACTACTTCGGTTCTGAAGAAGCCATGATCCGGCTTGATATGAGTGAGTTCATGGAGAGACATACTGTTTCGAAACTCATTGGCTCACCTCCTGGTTACGTTGGTTACACCGAAGGTGGACAGCTAACAGAGGCTGTTCGACGCCGTCCTTATACCGTTGTACTTTTTGATGAAATTGAAAAGGCTCATCCTGACGTGTTTAATATGATGCTTCAAATTCTTGAAGATGGAAGGTTAACTGACAGCAAAGGTAGAACAGTAGACTTCAAGAACACCCTTTTAATCATGACATCAAATGTTGGAAGTAGTGTAATCGAGAAGGGAGGTCGTCGTATTGGGTTTGATCTAGACTATGATGAGAAGGATAGCAGTTACAACCGGATCAAGAGCCTAGTGACAGAGGAGCTGAAACAATATTTCAGGCCAGAATTTTTAAATAGATTGGATGAGATGATTGTATTCCGGCAGCTCACGAAGCTGGAGGTGAAGGAGATAGCTGATATAATGCTAAAGGAAGTATTTGAGAGACTGAAAAGCAAAGATATCGAACTTCAGGTGACAGAGAGATTTAGAGATAGGGTCGTCGAGGAAGGATACAACCCAAGCTATGGAGCAAGACCACTTAGACGAGCTATAATGAGACTTCTGGAGGACAGCATGGCAGAGAAGATGCTTGCTCGTGAAATCAAAGAAGGTGATTCGGTTATCGTTGATGTTGACTCTGATGACAAAGTGATTGTTCTCAATGGTAGCAGTGCTGCACCTCCTGAGCCATCTCCCGAGCCTGTTGCTGTCTAGACTGAGCTGTCCTTTGGCTGTAGCCTTGATTGTTGTTTGTCCTGCTGCTTTTCATTTGAAGGCGAAAAACTATAAGTGACTAATTGGCGGTTGAGTCCAAATCCAGTTGATAAATTTATGTTCGAGTATTAAGGCTCTTCTGTAGATCAAGTCCCAAGGCTCAATCGATTGTACTAAAATCTATGCGTGTCTCAGTCGGTCATTAGGAATTTAGTTTTAGATTTGCAGAATTTTTATGATTGATGAAAATGTCGATTCTGGTAAAGGTTGAGTTATAGTTACTTTCATCTCGACTTTTTAAGTTACTTTGTACATTCACTTGAATGATTTTATTTCCCTTGTATCAGTAATCATAAGTCATAACTCTTGCTTGCTTTCATAGTTAAGCTCGCAAAAGTATGAAAAATAAGTAGATCTCATCTATTTAATTATGCTACTTTCTTTATTAGGAATACAAATTAGCAGTAAAGAGGTAGTAAATTCTTGGATCATCCTATGAGGCTGATGCCTTGGGAAATCAAGGCATTAGCAAGAACTTGATTAGCAGCCTGAGACGGGTGCACGCTATCCCAAAACACATACTCAGTCGCATTTGTACAAGTGCCTATTGACTTGGGATTGCACAGAATTACTGTTGTCTCCACAGTTCCCGTACCACAGCAACCTCTCCCTGCTTCTGCAAAACCTACGAGGACAAAATTATGTTGAATTATATCGTCTAAAGGCTTCAGCTATTAGAAGGAGAATTTTTCCTTCAACACACTCAGTCCTCACACGTAAATTGGATTCATTAAATGCCTAATACCTGACAATTTTTAGAATCAACTGAAGACTTTTGCCTGCTCTCTGATACAAGCAAAGGCCTTACATGTGACATTTTTCGTAATGCTCTAATGTTATGTATGAACCACCTTGCCTAAAAGCTTAAGCATTTAGTGAAGGGATACATTCATTTATTTAAATATTTTTCAACAAGTAACAGCAGAAAATTATTATGATGAAGCCAGCCAATCCATCATGACATAGATTTCTGAAGACAAATTTGTTTAGTACCTTGTTTTGATGGATCTTGAATTAGTTCATAAAGGGGCTTGTAGATGTCAAACACAACAATCTTAAGGCCAGAAAGTTGTTGCTGGAGTTGTATTGCGGATGAGTTGAGCTTTTCGTTGAATCCTTGGGCATCACTGTTGATCCTAGAGACACAACCACTCTCGTGGAATAAAGTTCTTGTTACCGGAATGCAGCCCAATGGTGGAAGTGAAGTCACCCCAATTCTCCTGGCTCCACAGGCATATAAATCCTGTTTCTCAAGAATGGGAATCAGAATGCTGATGGAAACTCTCAGGTTTAACAAATTGATTAAGACTCAATTATTTACTTGGTCAAAGCTGGTAAATTATATATTTTGATAGTAAAGAGGAGTTAACTTTCAAGAAGGGTAACTACCTTTTTTTTTTTTTGACGTTGAAATATAAAAGATGTAACATTTCTAAACATGTTTGGAAACAAATGGTTAAGTAACTTTTTTATCATTTTAAGCTTAACCGGACATCTAATCCGAGCCTTGTAAGAGACAATAACAAGTTTCCATATGAATTAAAAAGGAAAGATTTTCTTCTTTTTATGAGAAAGAAATAATTTTTTTTGTTTGAGATCTTCTGGTGCATCCAGGAATGAACTAAATGGAGCAACCTTAAAGGTTTTATGTAGCCGACCTGAATTTATTTGGAACAAAGCTTAATTAGTCTGTTATATTATGAGTAAGAAACAGAGAACAAAAGACATATACCTTGACAAAACTTGTAAATATGCCAATAAGGTTTGAAGCATACTGATCAGGTGTGCAGGACTTGTAGAGGTAAGGATTCACATAGTAATTCTGGATAAAATCACTGCTACCTGCACTCACTATGTATAATGCATCCTGTATAATTGATTCTGCCTTTGTACTGCCTGCTACATTTGCTAGCTTATTTTGGTACCCCTTGTAACACTGAAACTGTTGGGACAATGGAATTGCATGCTGCAAAATAGTTTCAGAAATTACTAAATTCTGAGTTTTGTAGCATATTGCACGAATAAGATAACGAGTTCAAGTTTTATAGTTCATTAATGAGTTTGTGTTTCTTACACTCAAGTGGGCTGTTTCATCGTCATAACCAGAACCAGCAGAAGCAAAGTTGGCTCCTAGGAGAAGGTTCTGTCCCGATGCCTGTGGGCTAAGATAAGCTGGCGGATAAGCAGTGAATCCCAAAGTCTCAGCTGCAAGAATATATCAAACAGAGATGTCAGTAATTTCCAATGTGGAATCTTGATCAGGCTAAGCACACAATTCCACCTATGTTTTACGCGGATAGTTCCCTGCCCGGGTAAAGGACGAAGGGTTGGTGTAGGTTGACAATGTAAAACTTTGTCATATGCTATGGCATTACTTGACATACCTGTAATATCAGTGGCTAATTTTCCATTTGTGAACCTTCCTGTAGCTTCTTGATTGGGAAAATCCCTCCCGTAAGGTGGGTAATTGGCCTTGAAAAAAGTATGGATGTAGTCATTGTTCCCAACATCCACAGATGAGTCCCCAAATGTAATTATTGCGGGAACTAGCTGAGAATCTACAGTACAAATGGCAATAGCCAATGCACAAATCAAAGCTAGTGATTCTTTAAAATGGACAGCCATTTTCCTTTTGAGATTTTCAGCTATGAATTGAGATCCTTTTATATAGAGAATCTTGTGTTAAAGAAGGCAGCTGAGCGTTGGATGGCCATTAATGATCGGTTCTATAGCATTAAAAGCTTGCATTGTACATACATAATATTTCCTTGTATGATGTCTGGTTGTCTTAGTTTTCAATGGCAAGAATAATGGTTCAAAAAGTAAGCTCAAGCGAAAAAGGTAGCCGAGGATGCAGGCGCGCTTTAAGTTGCAGCCATGAGTGAGTACTAAGAAGCTACAAAATTCGCCGTTTGATTTAATGCTCTTGACACACATCGGCGTACAATAGTCGAGTGTAGTAAATAGAATGACTGTATGATGTTGAAAATTGTTAGGATTTACTAGCATTTTCATGCGTCTTTGTCTTGCTCACATTGTACATCTTGAGTGGATCACATTGCATTTATGTCAAGTTAAACTACTCGATCATACTTTTTTATAATGTTTATGATGGCCATGTTTTATCTTCGTGTTCAAGACCTCCTCCGTAGTATCTAGCAAGCTTAAACCAAATCCATATGAAGCATCGAGTACTATTTGTTAGATTATTTTATTATTTATTTACTTGTTTTCTATTATTAGCATGTTTCCTATTATTGATGGGTTTCCTATTTTCCATATTTTATAGTGAATCTATACAAACACATTTATTATGTAATTTTATGATTCGATTTCATTGGAATAAGAAGCCCTAGTTTTCTTAATTTCTACACTATTGACTGCATTAATTGATTCATTGATATATATTCATTTCATCCATGACTCTCCGAGACAATCTTATGCTGGGAAAAGATGAATTGACGAGTTGTTTGATAAAATTTTAGTAAATTTTGATCAAAATTGATGAAAAGCGTAATAAGTTGATAAAGTTGTTAATCCTATGAAATAAGTGGTTAAAAATTCATAGTTCGATTTTTACCTCAACTTTTTAAGTTATACCAAACGAGCACCGAATTTGAGGTGGCTACCAAAGAAGCCTAGATGTGCAGAATGTAAGGAGGAATATCAGGCAGAAATTTGATTCCACTAATGTAATCTGACCTCATAATGTGAATAATATATTATTTCAAAGAATATTAAATAATTTTCTGCTAATTTCATATTCAAAATTTTTAAATGTGTAGAATATATATGAATATAATAATAGCGTATATAAAAATTTTGAATTGAAAATTTCGCAGCTATATATTTATGAAAAACTCTCCGCGTTAATTTCTAATGGATATTGGAAATAATAATGTAAGTAAATGAATTTTTTCTGTCACGATGCTTCAAATAACATAAGTTTTATGAGAGGCGATTGTTTAATATCTAACGAGGATGTAAAAGGAAGCATGGCTACAATCTCTTTTGCTAATAATTTCCCAGTTAGCACAAAATCCTCTTTCGCCGAATGTTGGCGATGATTTAAATGAATAAAATTGCATATTCTCGTAAAAAAAAAAAAAAAAATTGAAATTATTACCTACATGAATATGTTGCCAAAATTATTCATAAATGCGGCTTCTTTGGTCTAATGGCGACATGTTTTTCTTCTACAAATAGAACGATCGCCTAGGAAAGAATTTGTTCAAAAAAGTATAAAATGTAACAAGTAAATTTTCTATCGAAGTTTCTCTCTGCTATATATAATACCTAAATACGATCATGCGTGTGATGGGATGTCATAAAATCTACTACTAACACGAAATTATGGTAATCTTTTTTATTAAAACTTCAGCAACAAAACAAATCTTATTTGAAGTGTAAATTTGTGATGACCATTGATCTTCAAGGAATCTTATTTCCAGATTCAGTCACAAAACAAGCACAATAGCAGCATGGTGGGGGTATTGCAGTTTGGCAACAGAGGCAGGGAGGACAACTTGGCTTCTGAACAAGTTCTGCATCACACAAAAACGAAATATTCCATCAAAAGCTCATCTAAAAATTTAAATTGACTAATCGTAAATTCAAATCATATTTGCAGCAAACCTAAATTATATATATCGTGCACAGTATGTACCTCGATAGGTCAGTCCAGCTTCATTGCATGGTATCACAGTTGCAAGAACGATCCCGAAAATTAAAAATGTGACCAAAAAGGAGGCTGGGGAGAGCTTGGCCATTGCTTACTAAGTATATAATTTCTTAATGACTCTTAACGGATCGCATTTGCTAAAATTTTATTTATTAGCTCTGTACTTATAGGTGGGTTTCGAGTCAAAAACAGGGAAACAAAACTCTACAAGCGTAGTTGAATGTTGATTTATTGCTTGGAAATATTCAACACGGGAGTGCTTGACCATGACTTGCAATTACTTGTAAACTACTTTGTGAAAATATGGCATTGTGACCCAAATATCTTGTACCGACTAATAAAGGAAAAAATAAAGAGATAATTGCAGCAAAAGCCCACCTTTGAAACACTTGCACATTTTTTCCAAACATTTGATTTGTTGCAATCGTCACTCCTAATATTTTCAAATGTTGTAGGTAAGACCCTTTTAGATGGTTTCCGTAAAAAAAATGTCGTCAGTTGACCAAAAAAATTAAAGTCTGGTCATTTTTTACCAATTAAATGACGGTAAAATGGTAACTTTATAATATTACCATATAAAATATAATTCAAAAAATCAAAAAAGGAAAAGGAAAAACTTAAAACCTTCTTCCCCAACCTAACCCCATGGCCGAATTTAGGGATAATTGCTCAGGAAGAGATTCAAAAGACCAGAGGGGTACTAGATCTTCTCGGGGTTGGTTGGACATAGGTGATGGCGAAGATAACTTAAGACAAGGTGGTCGTGGTAGAAGAAACGAAAGTAGTTGGTCTAGAAACTCTAGACGCGGCGGCAGTGACTGATGCGATTTGTTGCGATTTGGCGATAGGCGATCAGGAAGGTCTCCATTTTTGGATTAGGGTGGTCCCCATCTTTTGGAAGTAACGACAGGTACTTTTACCCATATCACCATCCCAAATTTCTTTCTTCACTCGAGGCTTAAAGAAATCAGATTATACTTCTTCTTTGTTAAATATTCAAAAGCTTGTTTTTAAATCCTAATAATCATGGACCCTAATTTAGAATCGTCTTAAAATGCTTGATCCTAATGAGCTTTTCTGTTGGGCATAGATAAAGATGGGTTTCCTCGTTTGTTGTGGAGGCTGGGGTGGGGGCGAGAGGTTGGGTTGGGTTGGGTTGGGGAAGAAGGGGAAGAAAGTTATATTTTATATGATAATGTTATAAAGTTATCATTTTACTCTCATTTAATTGGTAAAAAATGAATTAGACTTTAATTTTTTGGGTCAATTGACGACATTTTTGACGGAGAAGGTTAGAGGCGACGGCTGCAACAAATCAAAAATTTGAGAAAAGTCTAGTAATGTCTCAAAGGTTTGGGACTTTTGCTGCAATTATCCCTATTGTGTAATATCTTCTTAAGTAAGTGCTCCATTTGGACCTTCAATTGGGCAATACATTACTATGTGTCAAAAACACTATTATTTATTATCTTCTTAACTAAGTGCTCCATTTGCACCTTGAATTGATCGATACATTATTACGTGTCAAAAACACTACAGTAAAACTTCGGTAAATTAGTAATCTCGCTTAAATAATAATTTTTTTCGATTCCAATTTGGGTCGGTATACTAAATTAATAACCCCACCAAATACATACCATAATAATCTTTTTGAAATTCTTTTGGGGCCCAACGAATATATAAAATAATAACTCCTTAAACTCATAGAAGTTCATACTAATGACCGTGGAAATTATCCCCATGTTTGGCCTCCATTTTTTCGAAAAATATTTTTTTCTCTTTATTATTTTCAACAACACATTTTTCAATAAAATATTATTACAAGTAAATTCAAAATTTTTTATTTTCATTTTTAAATCACACATTTTTTGAAAAAAAAAAAACACTATTTCAAAATATATTTTCCTCCAAAATCTATTTTTAACGGAGCTCGGACATGGACTATGTTCCACATGCATATGAAATAACTTGAACGATTAATCTTCCAAGATATTAAATTTTGAAGTCAATGTGTACACATTAAAATTTCCTCTTTAATGTATATAAGTGTGGGTTTTTTTGTGTGCTTACATATTAAATTTTGAATTTCAACACATTTTGAGTCCCTGTTTGGGTTCCATTTTCATGTGATTTTAGAAGAAAATGTATTTTGGAATAGCGATTTTTTAGAAAATGTGGGATTAAAAGATAATGAAAAGTTTTGGGATCACGTGTAATGTTATTTTATGGAAGAATGTGTGTTGAAAATAAGTTTTGAAAAAATGTATTTTGAAAATAATGAAGCCCAAACAAGGGCTCAATTTTTTATTTTTTTTTAAGATTCCCTACATGTATTATGGTAAAATATAATACAAGTTATAAAAATATAAAATATTGAATAAATTGATAAATATTTATTTATCGATAAATTAATAAATTATTCATTTATCAATAAATTAATAACTCCTCTAAACTAACAAATTTTCTCGATACCAACCTAATCATTTTATAGTGGTTTTAGTGCGTACAAAGTAGGGGGCTGAAACTTGATCCTCTTAATTGTATTAAAATTATAGTTTGCGCGAACTAGAATCAAAATTGACTTTGATGCCATGTTGGAGACACAAGTGCAAATATGAACAAAAATTAGTAACTTTCATTGTAATGAAATGTGGCGTAAGTGTGTGTCGTGGATATAATTATCGTTCTTCTTATTATTTCGTTTTACACTATTCTCATTGAATAAATGAACTTTTAATAAATGTAACCCGCACAAGGTTTAATAACCACAATATTAGGAAGGCAAATTCCTTATAAAGCAAAACAACAAATGCCAGAATCCATAATAGTTCAGAAAATGATTTGCAACAACTAAAGCCCTGATGGACAGCGGCCGTGAAGTCCGAATAAATTGTCCTAACTCAGATTGCACTACAAATTCCGGTTACTGACTCTATATCTAAAGTTTGCATTAGCAGCCTCCATTTTGCCCTTTATGCTGCAGCCTTCTTTTCGACTAGTTTCTCTATCAAATCGGCTGCTTCTTGGATAGTTGTTATGTTCTCAGAGCTCTCTTCTTCCACGGTAATGCCAAACTCTTCCTCGAGCCCCATAACTATTTCCACCTGCGCCAACCATACGATCAAATCCATTAGTCCATCGACCAGCAAACATTGCGAAAGCCAAGTAGATTGTGAAATGACATTATGGTAGTAGGTTTGGACTAGACAAGATTAGATAAAATTAAGGAACATGCAATGTTACAAAAGCTGAATTCGCGTTGAAGACTAAATTTGAATAAATGAATATGTCACATCCTCAACAGCTACAACTTTTCAATAAGCTAGTTCAATAGTTTGGTCCTTTGTAACGAACATGTCACGAATGCATATAAGAACAGGAATATGGAAGTGTGGCTTACCGTGTCAAGTGAATCAGCACCAAGTGCGGTAAATTTAGTTTCAGGTGTGAGCTGTGTCTCGGCAGACAGTACCAATTGCTTCCTCACAATGTCACTAACTTTCTGCACAGTTTCGGGTTTTGCCTGTCCATCCATGCATTACAAGTTCAAAAAATAATCGATGCGAAATCTATTTTTATTTCTAAAAAGCCAAGAATGAGAAATACTAGGCTAGTCTAGTAGAGTAGTAATTTTTATAACTGCACAAGTGATTCGGGAGCGCGAGATTCTCATAGAAGGGAAACCAGTATTCCTTGCCCAACCCACTGAAATTAAACTTGCACTTCTACCTTTAATCTGCATATTCATAGCGCCAAAATGAAATCAGTGGGAATTCTACCAAAATTGAATACAGAAAATGCAGAGCCACCAATATGGAAGCAACATGCTTGTAGGTGGATTTGTACAGTTTTCATAAATCTTATCCAGTCTTGTCTAGTTTATATACAAAATTCCAGTAAACCTGCTCTACGCGTTGAGGGTGTGTTGAAGACGAAACTTAAATAAATAAATGCACCTTCTCTTGAGGTAGTTGAAGCTTTTTAGACTAAGTGCTTCAACAATATCCAAATTCATAGTGCAAAAACAGTGAACAAACACAAGATTAAACAGAATATACATAATGAAGATAAGGTGTACCTGGTTGTTTGTCTGGCAAGATAGCTTAAGTGACTTCTCAAACGTAACAAAAGTAGCTGAAACAGAAGCCATTGAAAGTGTAAGTTTTTGAGTTGTTTCAACGAAGTTTGAACACTCAAGATAAGCAGAAGTGATAAGAAAATTCCTTTGTACAATTGTTTTCTTGGAAGTATTAGCTAACTTGGGGGGAGAGAGAGCCCGAAAGGACAAGAATCAAGAGATAGTACGAGTGGTGAATATTCAATATAAATCCTATCCAATTTTAGCAAACGTGGATTGCATTATTATTGTTATTTTTTTAACAGTGGATATATTTTCTTGAAAGCATAAATGGGCCGAACGGCCACAGCACGATCCAATCTGGTCCTTGTCCAGGCCCAATATGGTATGTAACAAATCTTAGCATGAAGGAAGCCTAAAAACGTCACACGTTACTCATCATATAACACGTCACTAGTTTTATTTTTGGGCAGCATCTAGATATTTGGACATATTCAATTCAATGCTTCTGCAGTACACACACACACAAAAGGGAAATTTAGAACGAATCTATATAATGTCACTCGTACATTATGTAATCCTTGATGTAATACTTGATGTGCGTATAGCAAAGCCCTCCTCGATATAGTTTTCACATTATTTTTCACAGTAAAGAGCTATAATTTTAAAAATTGGATATTTATATAATCGGTTAAATAATTCCACTCCTAGACCACTCTCCATAAGTTTATTAAGAACCTGGTTGGTGTTCGTGCAAAAATTACATTGCAAAAGCATGTTGCTGAAACATTAACGACAACGTATATTGCAATCTTTTGCAACACATATGATATATTATCATATCCATCTACTATAAGACAACATCGAAGACCCCAACGTGCAAGTGTACGTTGCAAAAGACATACGACAACGTATTTTGCTCGTTGTAAAAGACTATATTTCTTGTAATGTCTCGATAATTTTATTTGGAATCTATTTGGTGTACCAATTACTATTATGATGCAGAAAGTGATTTTACTTTAACAATATATGCGAAAAGTAATCTTTTTTTAAAAAAATTAAAAAAGAAAAAGGGACTTCAGAAATCTGGTATAAACTAATATACGCTGTTTTGATTGAGAAATGCCCAATAGAGTCCAAAGATGGCAAACTTGCACAACATCAAGCTAAAATTAATTGCTTTTCGTCTTCCAGAGACTACAGTATAGATCACAATCATCTGTTTAAGCGATTTTCTATGATCAAAATATACTCAATTCTTGGAATAAAAAATAAAATTGATTTAAAATCGATCCGATTATCAAATATAACATCAACGGTAGAATGATATTAGACAACTAATGAAAAAGAACAACTTGTACAAAAATCCAATTGTTCCATCGAACCTACCGCCACACATATATATAGACATACATACATCGTATATTATTTACAGGCTAGCTAGACCCATCGAGTTCTAATTAATAAAGCCAAATCCCAAAATAAAAAACCCCTGTTCACAACTAATATATATATATATATACACACACACACGGCTTCATTAACTAGAAGACTTTAAAATCCCCATGTTGGATCAAAAACAAACCAAGAATCATCCATCAGTGACCAACAGAGATGGATTGTCCTTGGCCTTGGCTGGATAGTCCAAGCCTCGATCTCGAGTGTTGCCTGGTGATCATTCTTGTGATGCCGGGATGAGCCACCGAACCACCGATAATATTTTTCTCCGACTCTCGCTTGACTTTCTTGACTTGGCTGTGAACTGGATGATCATAGCCTTCTCCCATGCCCTTATTCAGTTGTTCCTCCATTTGCATAATTGTTAAATGCAGCAGCAGAACAAAGACTATTTGTACAAACTTTCCCACGAATATGACTCTGTTTACAGATTTGCGTGTATAAATAGGTGGGAAGGGAGAATAGAAAGTTGGTGGGTATGTATTGTTTGGATTAGATTGGGTTGAGACAACAATTTTGACTGTCCTAAGAAAATTCGGCGTGTACTGAAAGTTGAGTCTAGAATGTTCCATTTGTCAATTCAATGGAGAGTTTGATCTGTTTTTGTGTCTGATAATAACGAATAAGAATGGGTCAAATTACGGAATAACGCGGTGTTGTTTGCATTTGAATTGATTTAATTAAGAAGAGGATGCCACGTTACGCTAATTAAGTAATCTAGAAATTAGTTGACGTGTAGGAATAAGATAATTATTACATTTAACTCCCTGCCTGCCTGCCCTGGAAACATTAAGAGTGTGTTTGGTAGGGATTTTTGAGGGAAGAATTGATTTTTGAATAGTGATATGATGGGAAATGTGTGGTTGAAAAAGAAGAAAAAAGTGTTGATGTGATGAAAAATATTATTTTATTGAAGAATGTGTGGTTGAAAATGAGAATTGATTTACTGTAGAAAATGAAAATCTGTACCAAACATGCCCTAAAGAAAAATAAAAAGTAAATAACATGTGAAGTTTAATGTACTTTCTGATGGTTTGGAAGTTGGACCATCCGACTAGGTCGATTTGAAAAATCAAGAACCAACTCGAAAATACATCCAATCATAACTTAAAAATTCTTCTTAAAAGTTCAGGATATTTTAAATATTTTTCTATAGTCTATGAATTAATTTTATAAAAAGTATGCATGGTGAACTTAAATTTTAAAAAATTTAGGTGGCGATAATGTGTCATTAAATGATAAGTGAAATTAAATAAGTCATTTAATTTTACTTTTCATTTAATTTATCATCTATTGTCACCAAAATTGGGGCTGTTATTAAATAACATTACCCTTTAAATTATCGTATTGATTTGATTGACATGACTTTATCCCTTTCTCCAAAAGCAAGGTCCATGCGTCCTACAATGAATAATGCTATTTGTGACTTTCCGGGGCATAACTCAGTGATGTAAAAGACAAGAATGAGATAGTCTCAGTTGAGCTGGCAATCGCAGTGTGAGGGTTCGATTACTGCCTCTTACAAAGTATGGAATTGGACTCTTTGTGGCACCAGCATGACAGCTCTTGTACCTTGGCCTGCTGAGGCACATCCCGCGATTTATCTCCTCCACAATGCTAGGGGCGGGGCATGGGGGGCCATCAAGGTTGGGATTCAACCTTTTTTAATAATGCTATTTGTACAATGATTGTTGACAATTATTATTGATAGTCATTGTATCGTCAAGATCTGTTTAGCCCATGTTTGTCTACCATTAATCTAAAACATTGTTTTCTACAGTAAAATTCTCCACCACATATTCACTCAATAAAATATTCTACACATAAACCAATAAAGTTTCAACCACACATTCTCCAAAAAATACTATTCATTACACCATTTTCACCCCAATAATGATAGACAAACAAGCTCTTAATTGATTTAAAAAACAACTTTTAAAATGGAGTTGGTAGATTTTGTCAACTCATGATTATCAACAAAAATTGTCAATCATATGTTAAAAATTAGGGAAAAGGATGTTTTGCGCAAGAAAATGCATAGGTAGGGACGTTCTGCACCAAAAAATCAAACGTAGGGACGTTTTCCACACAACCCGTCATAGGTAGGGACGTTTTGCGCCAATAACCCTTGATTTAATTAAGAAGAGGATGCCACGTTACGCTAATTAAGTAATCTAGAAATTAGTTGACGTGTAGGAATAAGATAATTATTACATTTAACTCCCTGCCTGCCTGCCTGCCCTGGAAACATTAAAGAAAAATAAAAAGTAAATAACATGTGAAGTTTAATGTACTTTCTGATGGTTTGGAAGTTGGACCATCCGACTAGGTCGATTTGAAAAATCAAGAACCAACTCGAAAATACATCCAATCATAACTTAAAAAATTGTTCTTAAAAGTTCAGGATATTTTAAATATTTTTCTATAGTCTATGAATTAATTTTATAAAAAGTATGCATGGTGAACTTAAATTTTAAAAAGTTTAGGTGGCGGTAATGTGTCATTAAATGATAAGTAAAATTAAATAAGTCATTTAATTTTACTTTTCATTTAGTATATCATCTATTGTCACCAAAATTGGGGCTGTTATTAAATAACATTACCCTTTAAATTATCGTATTGATTTGACTGACATGACTTTATCCCTTTCTCCAAAAGCAAGGTCCATGCGTCCTACAATGAATAATGCTATTTGTGACTTTTCGGGGCATAACTCAGTGATGTAAAGGACAAGAATGAGATAGTCTCAGTTGGGCTGGCAATCGCAGTGTGAGGATTCGATTACTGCCTCTTACAAAGTATGGAATTGGACTCTTTGTGGCACCAGCATGGCAGCTCTTGTACCTTGGCCTGATGAGGCACATCCTTCGATTTATCTCCTCCACAATGCTAGGGGCGGGGCATGGGGGGCCATCAAGGTTGGTATTCAACCTTTTTTAATAATGCTATTTGTACAATGATTGTTGACAATTATTATTGATAGTCATTGTATCGTCAAGATCTGTTTAGCCCCTGTTTGTCTACCATTAATCTAAAATATTGTTTGCTACAGTAAAATTCTCCACCACATATTCACTCAATAAAATATTCTACACATAAACCAATAAAGTTTCAACCACACATTCTCCAAAAAATACTATTCATTACACCATTTTCACCCCAATAATGGTAGACAAATAAGCTCTTAATTGATTTAAAAAACAACTTTTAAAATGGAGTTGGTAAATTTTGTCAACTCATGCTTATCAACAAAAATTGTCAATCATAATTGTACATATAGGGCGTTGTCGGTAGAGATTAAAATTGGATTAAAATTGAAAAACTAGCCGTTATTGTTGACTTTTATTAGACGAGTGGGACCCAATAACGGCCATATTTTCAATTTTTATTGGATTTTAAGCTGTACCGAACTGAATTAAATAACATTGTTTGCAATGACTAGACTTATTGTTTACACACTGGCCTTTCCCAGAAAATACAGCCAATCATTGACTCATCAACCACTAATTTTCCATACATTTTCTTGTCTAGAAAAAAACGACACAACCAATGCTTTCTATTTTCCACACGGTTCAATTTTTCCTTCCTTTTATTTTCAACTTTTGACAAGAACTTGCCCTTCGAGATGATTTTCTGCGAACGACATACCACCCTCAATTGGGTTCTATAAATTGGGAGGCTGATTTTCCTTTTTGGGGCCTTTTTAAAAAAAAAAAATTCATTCATTTTTCCTCTTTTCTTCTATTACAATGTTAATCAACAAATTGGTGTCTATTCCTTCTCGTTCAGGACGACATTTGCAGCGTTACAATCGTGGCTGTCGTCTAGTTGTTGGGTATGTATTCTAAAAACATCTCTTTTTCTTTGATTTTTTTTCCTGATTTTAATGTGAATTATTTCATACGGGTATATGTTTGTTTGCTGATCCTGTTTTTCGTTTTGTGTGGGAATTTTTAGGATTTTGAGGGAAAGTGAAATAAGGGTTGTAGTCTTATGGGATTTTGAGTTTTAAAAAAAATGAATTTTAATTTGTTTTTTAAATATTGGGTTATAAATTTTTCCTCTTTACTTCCAAATTTTGTCAGATGTATTCCATACAGATTCAGAGAAACCGAAACATCACCTCCAATTCATGGGACCGTAATTGAAGAATTGGAAGTTCTATTGATTACCTCTCAAAAGAGTCCAAGAATGATGTTCCCAAAGGTACAGTACATAAGCATATTATAAGAATTATTGCAAGTCCTTAAATGTTTTATGCACATTGTTTATTTTGCAATGAAATCATTAGGGTGGTTGGGAAATTGATGAAGACATCAAATTGGCAGCTACACGAGAGACCATGGAGGAAGCCGGTGTGGTCGGCACGTTAGGGGTTAGTCCTAGTTATTCTTATCGAACTATATTTGTCTACAAATGGCACATTGTGTACACAGTACTTAATCTTATTCAATGTTGTACAATCCAATATACAAAACATGCCGGAAGCTTTATGTCCTCTAATTTTGCTCCATTGCATTTTCTTATAGGATAAATTAGGCGAATGGATTTTCAAGAGCAGAAGCCGAGACACATTTCATGAGGGCTACATGTTTCCTATGCTGGTCACAGAGGAATTCGATGTGTGGCCAGAGAAAAATGTCCGTCGGCGAATATGGGTAATTTCCCTTGTCAAAGTCTATGCGCACGCTTATGTAAAGTTTGTTCGCAAGCAATCTGAATTGCTTTTATGCAATGCTGTAGTGTAACGAGTAATCTTGTTCCACAGATGACAGTTAATGAAGCTAGGGAAGTATGCGCACATTCATGGATGAAGGAAGCTTTGGATGCATTTTGCTCATCGATTCATGCTTCTGCAAATAAGGAGAAAGAATTCCTTTAGCACAAAATTTCTCAAGAGCTCAACAAGAAGAAGAGAATAAGAAATTGATTATTGCTTAGTTAAAAAATGGAGTAGTCATCTAACAACTTTCGAGGTGGGAAAGGATTCGTGTAGTGACACTTTCCAAGAAACCGCGGAAGGAACTTTGATGACGTGGACTTCTAGTGAGAGGGGGGAAGGGGTGCACAAATATTAATCTTATTCTTTTATTCGTTGAAATTTATTGCTTCTTGTGTTCATTGAAATCCATTGACTCTTTAGGCATGAAGATTCTGAATTATATCGAAGGGAATATTTATGATGCACACCAGAATTGAATTAGTTGAGATTAATCTCAAGTTGTGTGAAGAACTAATGTGAATGGCCTTGACAATTTTAATATTCCAAATTGTCATGCTGATGAATCTTTGAATATCTTTGTGATCCAATGGATATATTCACATCTGGCTTTTAAATTCCAAATTGATTGCTGACGACCTTTCGGAGTGTGTGAAAGGAGGAAATTTCCTGTATGGACTCTTTAGATTTAGAAATGCATATTCAAAGGAATCAATTGCTTCCCACAGGATCATGTTTGAAACGGGGTAGGCCTTAAGGTAATGGGCTAGATGTGAATTCCCAAGAATGAGTTTGGGTGATATACATAGATACACGTCTAGAAACGTTTCCATTGCGATATACCCCTCTATATATTGGAAATAACAGAAAACCCTATTTTTGAAACATTTTATGCCAAAAACCTCTTGCGGTGAAGATTCTTCAGATTTATCGTTAAAAACACTAAAAAAATGTCAAAATTAAAAAAGGAATAATTGCAATTTCAGTATCCAAACTTTTTATTTTTTTACGAATTAAATTCAAATGTTTTATACGTGTCACCTACAATCTCAAAATTTTAATACTTTATTTTATACCTCATCCCATTCCATCTTTTCCCCAAAAAATGTAATTTAGACTCGAGTTGCACACGTGGATGCCAAATCACCCAACGAAACCTTACCCATATGAAATGCTTTATGCCCCACACTATTTTTTTTTTAAAATGCATGTGGGGCCTCCCCTTTGTGAGGGGCCTGTATGCCCCTTGCGACCGTGAACAATGCTTTTGTACAAGAAGCATTGTTCTAACTCCAATATCCCTCCCAACCCCAACCCCCCCCCACACACACACACACCCTCCTAAACCCAAAAAACCAAATCCACAGCCAGGCCATCGCCTGCAGCGGCCTTCCCCACCTGGAAGGAAACCGCCGGAAGTAACAATTTGATATTTTAACAAATTCACAATTCTTTAAAACTTTGATTTTGAACACAGGAACGATTGATTTTTTTTAATTTTTAATTTTTTTTAGGAAGAAAGTGTAGTTGGTAGAAAATAAAGTTTTAAAGATTTGAAATTGTATTAAGTACATATAAAAAAAATGGATTTAATTTGTAAAAAAAAAAGATTTGGGTACTGAAATTGTAATAATTCATTTTGAATTTTGACATTTTTTACTGTTTTTAACAGTAAATCTAATGGTTTTTTACTGTTTCACACAAAAGGTTTCAAATTTGAGATTTTTTGCGATTTTCAACGGGTAGCTGATATATCACACACGGAAACATTTTTAAGGGATTTTTTGCTGTTAATTCTTATAGTTGGTATCAAAACTGGATATCCATGTTTAAATTGATGGTCTCATGTTCGGGTCGAAGATAGAACATTCCCTGAGCGAGGTGTATAATGAATGAGTATGCATAAAAGGGAAACTTACATAGGAGCCGATATTTGAAGATTAGTGTTCATAAATCAGGTGCAAACTTTAATTAATCAAAAGTCAGGTAATAATTATATATTTTAATATTAATATTAATCAAAGACCCAATTCATCCCAAACCCTAACCATATACTTTCTCACTCTATCCTCTACCTTATCTCTATCCTCTCTCTCTCTCTATCTCGCCTCTCTTCCCCTCCCTTCCTCAGTTCCTCTCCTCTTCCCTTCCCTTCCCAGCCTCCACTATCACAGTCGTTTGAGGGGTTACTTCTATCATTATATTTAATATTATAGCCATAACTAGATTCTGATTCCTCGGTACTGGCGGCAGGAGATGATGAAGACAAAAGCAGCAGTGGTGGACTGCAGTTACTAATCGAAAATCCTCTGTCGTCGGTCCGATTGTAGCCTTCATCGCAGCTTCGCGACAAGACACCACCGCTGCAAATCCACTACAGGCGAAACAAATGTTGTTTCTGATGGTGGGTAGGTGTGCTGCGGTGTTGATGGTTTAAGCCGACGAGACTGGCAATTTTCAGTCGTGGAGGAGTGCAGGCGGTGGCGATGGTTTAAGAGTATATGTAACTAATAATTTTTTTTTCAAGTACTGATGAGGCGGTAGTGGTGGGTTTGTGTGTAGTCGCCAACACTGTAATGAAGAGGAGGTCGGAGCGTTCGGTTTGTGGTGGGTTTGACGATCTGAAGTTTTCGTCGATTCGGTGATCTGTACCACGGTTCGTTGCTAGTCAAATCTGCCTGTGGTGGTTTTCATGTCTTCGATAGTGGTGATTAGGTGCCGTGGTAGTGAGATGACGGTGATGGTAGTGAATCTGCTTGGGATGTGGTAGTGGCCGTCGACTGTGACAGTGGCAGTGGAGGTTGACTATAGTGATGGTGACTGTAGCGGTAGTGTTGTGGTGCTGGCGACGGTCGCAGAGTGAGGGTGGTCACAAGTGGCGGTGGCGGTGGTGGTAGTATGTAACCCAATTTTTGGTGCATGCCACCAATTATTTGTTTATCTGTGACCAAATATTAATCTGTGACCTTAAAATTCGGTAATCTGTGACTAAAAAAATCTGTGACCAATCATTTTGTTTTTTGTGACCTAAAAATTATATAATATGTGATCGCGAGAAAATATGTGACTAACTAATTTAGAAATCTGTGACTGTGTGATCTATAAATTTTGATCTGTGTCTAACTAATTTTGAAATCTGTGACCAACAAATTAATTGTGACATACAAAATTTTTGAGCTGTGACCGTAAGTTGTAAATCTGTGACCGAAATGTTCGTCGGAAAAATTGTCGGATTTGGAACAATCGTCGGAACAGTCGCCGAAGAAGAGTGGTGGTCGGAATGGTACTCGGAATAGTCCATATGTCATGCAAAGTGAATTAAATATTAAGGGCAAAAATGTCATTCTGTCATAAAATGGTCCAATATTGCGGCTGTCATGTCAGTCTTCATTGAAAAATTGTGAAAAGCAATGGTCTAAATTTTACTCGGCAACAATTGAGATTGCAATTTTAAGTGCAACGGTATACGCACCAGTTTATTTGGAGGAGTTTATGTACTCCGGGCACATTTCAAATTCAAAAGACTGCATCTTTTCGAAAAACTATCCGTTAGATCATATTAGCCTCAAAGCTAAAACTCAAAATACTGTCACTATCCTTTTTCTGACAGACGAATAGGAAAGTGAGAAAGAAAACAAGCAAACCCAATTGATTCGTTGTCAAAACTTTACTCGTCTGTTGCACACACTAACTCACAAGCAGTCGTTTTAACTTTTTGGCCCCTTGCACCCTCAAAACCAAGATTTACAATTGAAACACCAGAAACTAGGATGGGAAAACTCAGAGCAAAATCTGATTATGAAGAAATCAGAAATGCCCGTCTTCTTGAAAATCAGGTTTTCACTCTTTTTTGACCATATATTTCTGTCAAAAATTTAACTTGTTTTTTTATTTAAATTTAATCTACAATGGAGTGATTACGAGTTTTTGTTATGAAGAACAGGCACGATTGGCCTCACTAGGACTTCAGAAAACAATCTCAGAGCTCAGATCCATCACTTCATCACCAAAATCTGATAGGACCCATGTGAAGAAATACCAAAAAGTTGACTATAGCTCCACGCCATTGCGCCGTTCCGCTCGCTTGATAGGAAAATCACCATCTTCGAAAGGTTCGTTATTTGTACATATACAGAAGGAGAGACAGAGATTGATTACTATTAATGTTTTTTCTGATGAAAATTGAAAATAGGTTTAATTTGTTCTTCCGGTTTGTTTATAGGAGATTTGGGGAATTTTCAAGGTTGTGACAGTGATGATGACAAGAATGGACCTGCAAATGCACCTTTATTGAGTATTAGAAGAAGTTTGAGGCCGAAGCTTTCACCGGATGCTTTGGCTCGTCGTTGCACAAGCAAGGGCAGGGGGAGTTTATATGATCCTATTTATGGAATTTGCTGCCATTTTTGCAGGTTCTATGCTTGTTCTATAATTCTATTCTACCAACTTTGTGAAGTTCTTAAGATGCTTTGTGGATGGCTCTTAGGGTGGTAAAGGTTGTGTGGGATTAAGCATTGTCTGTACATATTTTTCTTTCGATTTTATTATCAAGGGCTTCTTCAATATTTGCTTCTGGTATTGTTGCATTTAACACCCCTTTAGTCACTGATGTACTATTAAGAATTTATTTGGTTTTTCTCGAAAGAAACTATCATAAGGGTCCGTTTGATTGCAAGAATGAAATTTAGGTGGAAAGAAAATGAATTCGAGGGAATTAAATGGTCTAGAACTTCTTTTATTGGGAATTATCAGTTAATTGTGTTTGATTGATATAATTTTCCACCTGAAAAATATTGAAATTTTGGATCTTTTGGTGTTCGTTTAACTTTGTTTTCCATGAAAATTGTCCATTAAAAGGATTTAATTTGTTACAATTGGTCATAGAATTTGTTTCCATTGCAAAGAAAAAAAAGTTGCTTAGAAAAGCTTTTTCCACCAAAGTCCTCAAAAATCAAGAAAATGTGAGCATGTGGGTGAAATATGGAAAACTAATTAAATGGAAAATTTGGACAATCAAATATGCAAAAAGGTGAAAAATGGAATTTAATTTTCATCTTTCATGGAATTGAAGTGCAATCAAACATCGCCTAAATGTTTTGCTGTTTCCGGTGTTATCTATGGATGAACCAAGTGGAAAAATTATTTGTGTAGCCGTTGAAAATAAGGCCTAGTTTTCTTGTTGAATCTATAGGCAATGCAAACAGAGTCGAGTTGCTGTTCAAAGATTTGTTATTTCACAAATTCACTTTTGATGTTTTCTCATTTGCACCTTGTAGTTACTGATGTACTGTACTACTAGTGATTTTGGTTCTTCACGAATGTCAGGCAAAAGAAACTATGCGGTGAGGAAGATTGCGAACGTTGTGGCAATCAAGACATGGATCAACCTTGCATAGGTGTTCTTTTTTTTTTTCGAGATTAACGACTCATTTTTATCCCTATATTGGGCTTATTATCTCCAAACAATTTCCATACAGGAAAAACAGATTGCTCCATTTGCCATTCTAGCAACGGTGTTCTTTGTCGAGCTTGTCTCAAGGTTAGGTATGGTGAAGGTAAGCCTTGAGGGGACGAGTTAGTGCCATGTTTGGTAAGGTGAAGTAGAAAACTGTTAAGGAAACTGAATGTTATCATATGTTTATCTGATAGAAATGGAAGAAGTGAAAGCAAAAAAACAATGGATATGTCCGCATTGCATGGAAGATAAAGGAATTAATCCTTATTGGATATGTAACAGGTATGTTTGTATGATATACAGAACATCACGGATCCTATAGTCATTTGAAAATCTTATGTTTTATGTTTTTTGTGAATAGCTCGATCTGTTTAAAGAAGCGAAAGATGGTTCCTACCGGGATAGCCATATATAGAGGTTCGTTTTTACATGATTTCTTTATGCATATTCGTTTCATCATTCTCTTAATTGAAATAAACTGTAGCTAAGGAATTGGGGTACAAATCTGTGGCACACCTCTTGATGAACGAGCTTCAACGAGCAGCAGATAAAAGGCGATGAACAAGTTTTCAACATCAAAATGCCTTCCTTCAGAAGCGCTCGTATGCTAATAGGTTGTCAACCCTTTGTAACCAATATTTGAACTTACGATTATAATGCTCAATCATCTGGGAACTCACGATTAATGCTCAAAATAATTCTGTTCTTGGATTCAGTTCCACAGTCACTCTCTTGCGGATACTTTGTGGTGTCGAGAAGCCTTTTGACGTTCAGTGTGCGCCACTCCTATCATGTTACAGCATTTTAGGGTGAAAGAGTCGTCTCTCTGAAGTTCGATATGATGGTTTTGCCCAGAGTTTAGATGACCATTTTCTTCGTCAAATTAAAACCAGTTATCTTTCGTATGTCCAACCATTTTCTGATTCCAGTCCATAACTTCCTTGATTAAAACCAGATATCTTCGTCAAATTGTCACTTGGACAAATGAAAATCTTTTCACAAATATTTAGTTAGTTCCATTTGAAAACAATGTCACACAATACCATCAATGTAATAAAATTGAGATACAAGGAAAAGGGGGCATGCGTTCTCATTGCTATGGAGAAGAAACAAAATTACAACACATTAAGGGCCTCAAACCAAAAGTCTTTAAGCAATCAACAATTAAATTTGTATGTCGAAGTCATAGAATAGGCCATTACAGAATAAAAATGTTCAATAAGTGAAGATCATACATTTACAGGGTGTACACACAGGATGGTTCCCGTATTTATGAACTAGAATTTGTCGGTGGGTCGTCTTTCAAACCTTTGGTAAGCAAGTCGTAGTTGATAGATGCAAGCTCAGACAGATTCTGTTGCAACAACAAACGGATTCAAATGACAACTGACCATAACAGCAGTTAGAGGGGGTTCTTTTTTCTTGGTGTGAGGTAAAAAGGAGACGTATAACTTTCATAGTGAGGATAAGGATGAATTCATTTATTTATTTTTCCGTTTTGTTTCAATATTGATCTCGATTATGGTATTCAGTTTGATCCTGAACATACAACATAAATAATTGAGCAACCTATGTGCATGAGATTACCTTAAACGAGAAATTGCTGAAGGAATAATTGATATCAGAGCCTGAGTTGAATTCCGCAAGACCCCCGCATTCATCTACCTGTTCATTATCCCACGGCAGTGATCCCAATTAAAACTATAAATGAAGAACTGATACATAAAACCTCAAATTGATTTCAAAATAGAAATACAGCACCAATTCATCATGCCGATTGCTCAGGCAACTACTGGTATCACTCATGCTACCATTGTCACTGGAATCTTCGAATTCACTAGCCGCATAGACCTGTTCATCCGAAGGATTCCAGGAGAAACGACTGGTGAAGTAACTGGTATCCAGTGCACTCTCAGAGGCAGGGACAAAAGCAGCCTGGATAGAAGAGAAGCAATACTAGGCATGACTAATTTTAAGAAAGTTGCATTTAATTCTTGTTATACGGAAACGAAATATTTCTAACACCAAAAGGAACATATCTGCTCGAGCAGATCAAGAAATAAGGCAGCCAAACCTTTTGTCTAGCAAGTGTGTACCAATTAATATCTCTGAAAAATGGATGCTGCTTCACCTGCATAGTATTTTCTTACTCGGGTTAATCATCGTTCAAACGAAGAAATGAAGAACAAAGCCCGATAACCAAGAAAAAATATAAAGAATTATACCTCTGGTGCTCCTCTAGCTCCAAGTCTCTCATTAGGGTCTTCTGTCAGTAACCTAAAAACAGGAAAGAGCAGCAGATCACTTTCCCAAATCAGAAAATGAAGCAGATTGAATGTTGACAGTAACAAAGGGAACCTAATGGCTTTAGCCTTTATGCATTCAAGACAAAGTAACATATAAGAAACCTAACTTTGTATGTTCGAGATAAAGTTCATATGCGGCAAAAAGTTGACTGTGAAGCACTTACCAGAAGGATGACATGCAAAGAAATCACGGGCAATTGCAAATAACTATTTAATTGTTTCTTTGGAATTGGGCATTGAACTTTTAGAGCAACTAACCTTTACGCTGATTATATGAAGCATCAAATACCATATTATAAAATCCTCATCTCAGGAGACATGCATTAGGTAAGTAACATATTCTAGATCCCTGACAAAAGCATTAACATTACCACCCAATTCATATAAAAAATATTGCAGAAAGCCAGTCTGTAGTAAGAAAGATTTTGTCAACTAAACTATAGACCAAGAGCAAAATGATATTGGGGCCTTTATACAATATAATCTCCTTAAATCTAGTAAAAAAGAAAGAGCAAGGCTTCTCTTACTGATCAATTAAATCATGTGCTTCAGGGCTCATTTCTTCAGGGACCTGTGGCCAAGGTATCTTGCGGTTGAGAATATTATCAAATATTTTCTGCAAGAAATATTAAAATAATAAGAATGCAACCATTGGAGGTACTTGATGGAAACTAGAGGTGGGCAAAATTCAATGGAACTGGATGAACATGTATTCTTATCTTTTTAATTTTTGAACAACATAAATTTAATATACCTCAAATATCTAATATAGTCCAATTTTTAAGCCCAAGTCCCGAAAAACACAAGACCTGTTCAGCTTTTCCCTTTCATGGAGAACCAATCAATTCTCTACCAAAGAAAGCCGAATAATAACTGGTTGGGTCTCATTCTAATAAGAACCAGTAAGAATTGGACCATGACAACCACATAAAAAATGTAAAACTCTATTACACGGGGTTATTAGTGACAACTTTTAGAGTGCAAAGTATCTGTGAAACTTCAGATGCTCGATTCACATAACAAAAATCCCGTGGTACCTTATTCACAATTTGACAACACTGATTTATCACAACATTCATATGAATCCTCCCTCACAAACTTCTGGGAACCTCAATAACATCAAAGTTCGTAGTGTAGAAGTAGCCACATGACCAAACCCTCCTACTTCTTCACCAGATAGACAGACAGACAGAAGGTAGTATACATGTACAAAACTGTACACTGAAACAAAATGTTACAGCTATTTACTAACCTCAGCAACAGACAGACAGAGGGTAGAATACATGTACAAAACTGCACACTGAAACAAAATGTTACAGCTATTTACTAACCTGAGGATGCTCAGCATTGAAAGGAGGAATTCCAACAATCAACTCAAATAGTATGACACCAACAGACCACCAATCGGCAGTAAAGCCTGAGGAAAATGCAGAATACTCCATTATAACATTGCATTCCTAAAGTGCTACGATCCAGTAAAACAGCACACTAAGTCCAGCAAAAGCACATAAATCTTCGCACAAGATATTTTTTCATGTCATGTTCCTAAAGCACCATATCAAGTAAAATGATATCAACGTGATTACTGAAATCATGCACCCTTATGGTGCAATTTAAATGAAACTATGCTGTTCCTTGACAGATTGTTATCATCCCTCCATGCAAGCTTTATTTTCTGAAACCTGTAACAATAATGAGCTAAGGTAGCTTTCATGCAGTAAAAATAAACTTAAACAGAGATCATTGACAAAACACAGTAGGAAAAACTCTATTAGTGAATTCTTATCTTAGTCCCACGACTGACTGCTAAATATCAGCCATGATTCTACTATCGATGTGATATCCATAGTTGCCGAATTCTGCAAATTTTTTTATGATACTATCTACTACCAATCACCAACAGTAAACAATTTCAATACCTTCGCGGATTTTTTTTTTTTTAAAGATTCTGATCAATGGACAATTATCAACATTATCTTTAGCTTCCCCTTGTCTGTAATTCTGAATGGCAGAATGGCATTTGGTTGTGACAAGTTGGTAATATGAATTGAAGGACTCGAGAGAGCTAAAAATATGGATCTAGAGAGACTTGTTGGGGAAAGAGGGAGGGATTCAACTAAAAGAAAATTTTCATGATCTCATGATGGTAATGCTGAGCTTCTTGCAAGAGTGTGAAAGTTAGCTATGCTTTAAAATTACATATTACAATTGTTCTAAGCATGTGGACACAAGTGTTAAGATCTGTTAAATTGGAGTGGTGAATTGCTCTACATAAGACTACAGAAGAAATCCAATGTTCATATACGAACCATGCCCAGTTCCTAGAAGAATCTCAGGTGCCAAATAGTCTGGAGTACCCACAGCAGAGCGTTTCTTGCGCCTTTCTTGCTGATGGTCAGATGCAGACAATTGAGGTTCATCGTCTTCCATTAGGGATGTTCCGCTAACAGCTGGACCCGATAAATCATCAGTACTGTTGATGAGACCAACTTTAGATAGCCCAAAGTCTGTCAACTGCTCAGTAAGACGGCACATGTTAAATTTTGTTGATCAGAATCCACAGATAGTCTGATTTTATCCACGTAGAGATATTTAGAGGACAAAATATACAGATAATGAGGCATCAGGTTCCATGAGCTTCAAATGCTTCTAAAGAATAAACTATCAAAGGCATTGATCAATCATTTGATTTTTAAAATAATATCAAATGAATAATAAATTACTTTCTTAGACAATCTGTATATAGTAACAACTAAGTGCATATGAACAACATATTGAAAAATTTATCCAAAATAAAGAAACATCAAAGTGAAATGGAAACAATCCACATGCAAAATAACTTATTCTACCTACCATTACCCTACCACATCAAAGTGATGGTGCTAGTAGCATGTTGAAACAGTACTATTAGCAATCAGAAACACGGATATGGGCAGGAGAAATAGCAGATAATATATGTTCTTTTGGTGCATTCAACGTCACAGAAGGCTGTAAAAGAAAACGCTTAATGGAAATACCCAAATGGCAACTAAATGACTAGGTGCTAATTTAGCTGTATTACACACTCGAGACAGATTATCAACGTTTTGCATTAAAAAATAAGCCTTTAGTTATAAGAAATAGATAAGTTCATTTACCATTGCATGTTGCAGAAGCTAATTACAAAAGCAGATCTGTATATATAATTAATCCTAGCAGGGTGACATATGAACAAATCCTCTTCAGTACTGACATCGAAAGGAAAAAGAATCAGATCATTAACCAAAAACTAGAATAAATTACCTTGATATGACCATCATGTGCAATCAACAAATTATCAGGCTTTAGATCACGATGAACCACATGTAGAGAGTGCAAATATTCCAAAGCAAGCACCTGGTCATATTACAACCTCAAACACATATTTCAATGTCATGCGAGCCGAAGGGCAGGTGGAAAAAGATAGCAAATCACCAATAACAACTTACAACTTCAGCTATATATACTCGAGCAACATCTTCATCTAAGCAGCCTAGATTTCTCAGTAATGAATACAGATCTCCGCCATTCAAGTACTCCATTACAAGATACAAATTTTCTCGACAAGTAAATGAATAGAAGAAACGGACCTAACAAAAGAGATGTTAAAGTAAAAAAGTGATGACCTTTTCAAAAGATAAAGTAAAATGCTTTGCCAGTTACACCTGCTCACCACAAAAGGATTGCGAACTGAAATCAATATATTACGTTCAGCCAAAATACTCTCGACAGCATTCTTCCGTATCATATCTGCCTTCTTAAGAACCTGCAAAATATAAAAGTAGGTCGGAAAACACATATACTTCCAGCAAATGAGTTGAGAATTAGAATTTCAGAAGTATAATAATGGGAGGTTGGTGGGGCAGGATAAGTGGTATATACAAGAAATGTTCGAGGTACAACCAATATCTAGTATAACAGGTTAAGCTGGGTCATGAAGTTTGGTTCCCGCAATAATAAATAGAACTGAGATATGAATAAAGATAACTACACAGACAGACAATGGAGGAAGAACTAGAATTTATTATTAAGGGGCCCTAGACACAGAAAGTGAATGATTTTTACAGCAAATAATAAGATGCACGGCATTGCCAAATACAGCCAGCCCAATCATACAACAATAAAGCTGTGCTCCCAATAAATTTGGAGCATATCCTGCTCATATGAATAATCAAATGAGACTCTCCTAATTGTTATAGATTAAGAGCATGTTTGAGCCCCATTTTTTGGTCCAAAATACATTTTGAAATAGTATTTTGATGGAGAATGTGTGGTTGAAAAATAAGGAAAAATTTTGAATTTGAGAATAATATTATTTTATTGAAGATTGTGTGGTTGAAAATAAGATAGCAAAAAAAGTATTTTGGAAATAATGGGGACCAAACAAGTTGTAAGACTAATGGACAACTTAACGTGCCTTCAATGTTGAGAGGGGGCCGTTCCACGTAATGGAATGCGTAAATGAAATATAGGGTTTGTTTGAGCCCTATTTTTTTAGAGAATAGGTTTTGTAATGGTAATTTTTTGGAGAATATACGGTTAAAAAGGATGGAAAATTTTGGGTTTATGTTTAAAATTATTTTATTGGGAGAATGTGTGGTTGAAAATAAGTTTGGGGCAAAATGATTTTTTTATAGAATGGGGCTCAAACAAGAGCATAATAAGAAAGCATAACTGCAGGGGCAGGCCAGATGGGGCCTGCCTGGCTCTGCTAACCCAATGATGTCTTAAACCATAAAAGGCAATGATTCAGTTCTAGATATATCATAAAGCAAAAGCCAAAAGAGTAGTTGAGACAAACCTCACCAAAATTTTTGGTTCCCAATACTCTTGCACCCTATGCCCACTGTGAAAACTGGATTGAGGGCTTAACATGCAGGGCAGCTGTAGGGATTAATAATCTAAGTCCAACTCACTTCAAGGAAGTAGGGATTAGCCCATCCCAAGTTAATCCCATAAAAGACATACTACATCTTGTTGGGCAAATTTAAACCGGTCAAACAAACATTCTATGGACCGAAAACTTATTATCCACCTTTTATCCACACATGCTGTGGGATTCACTGCTTAAATTATAATTTGAACACTCCTAAACAAGCACTTAGTAAAACTTCTACGCCGCTTGTCACTTCATTCTTTAAAAGTTCAATCTCCTAATTTTGAAACCAAAGAAATGGAAAATAATTAGAGAAAAGACAGATTCAAGATCATTCCATTTGAAGTATATATAATATTTCTCCGAAATACTGCATCCTAAAAGTTAAAGATTGAAGTTCTCTGCCTTCCACTTATTTTGCTGTTGTTGTAGACATCATAACTGATGATGCTGCCATTAAACCTGGCAGGCACAAGGCTGTTCTCTTTCTACCGATTAGCTTCAACTTTCATGAAATATTTTGACTAAATAGGGAAGAAAGTGGTCCAACATAGATATCAAAGTATGGTATTGAAGCATTGGTTTCTAAGACATCCATGGCCATTTAGGTATTTTACAAATACCTCAGCAATATAACTTTTTTTTTGTTTAGAAAGTTTGGGTAACACAACTTGCTATAGAAAATTGCAACAGAAATACAATATAACATACAGCAGTTATCATATGTACACACAAGATCTACTCTAGAGCCACCTTTCTAAAAGGCCCAAGGAAAAAAGAGAAAACATCTCAAGCAAAAGTAAGGCTGGCCTCGAATCAGAAACTGACGGATCAATTAACAATTTAACATAAATAGTAGACCTACCTTTATCGCAAACAGATCCCCTGTTGTTCTCTTTTTTGCCAAGAAAACCCGGCCAAATGCCCCACGACTGATTGGTTTTATAATCTCAAAGTCATCTATCGAGGTCCGATCTTTAGTAGAATGTATAGGACTAGTTCGCAAGCTACGAACAACATCATCGTCTAAAGGAGCATCTTCATCAATTACAGTGCTTGATATATCAACCTTGACATCATCAACTAATTCGCATAATTGCAGATATTTCTCCCTAGATGATCAGATCAAAATTAAGCCATATTTCTTTAGGTAAAAAATAATCGAAGTCAAATGCTAAATGCTACAAAGACACGAATACAATAAGTGTCCAATGTAAAGATCAGAAACTCACCTTATCAACTTCTCGATACGTGCTCCAAAAGTCTCCACAGTGAGGGCATCAAATTTTCTGCGGTCTGTGACAACTTTCAAGTCTTCAAGACAAGAAAGCAGGTATGACAAAGAGCGATCATCATCCAGAGGTGTATTTGCTACACATCGAGCTATATCAGCGAGTTCATTCATCTGCATTGCCACATAGGATAATTAATTTTCAAAAAAAGAATCTAATGGTAATTCAATATTATCAACCATCAATTGATTCCATAAAATTGACATTCCCATAGTTCAAACACGCAACTAGGAAAATTTAGTACTCTCGGATTGTTCTACAATCAGTTCCTGTACCGTATAATTAAACTAATTTCCCCTCCACAAAATCTTGAAACACGGAGCTTCAGCTCCAATTAAGTTGGAGGTTGTTTTCACGTAGCATAAGGTTATTATCTATTGATGTTCGTAAAGGAGAGTTTTAATGACACCAAAAATCATTAGCTGGAATGTGAGGGGGCTTAACGAAGCTGGGAAAAGGTTGGGGATAAGGAACATGATTAGGGGATGGCGGGCGGATCTTGTTTGTTTACAAGAAACAAAGTTGGAGGTTGTCTCGAGGGCTGTTGTGAGTACTTTATGGGGGGGACAGCATGTCGGGTATCAATTTCTTGGAGCATCAGGGGCATCAGGAGGAGTGCTAGTCATGTGGGACACTAGAGTTTTTGATATGGAGGAGGTTAGTGTAGGGTTATTCTCATTATCACTTTCGTTTAGTAATGTTGGGGATAGATTTAAATGGATGTTTATAGGAGTTTATGGGCCTAACGCAAATGAGAACAGAATGAGCCTGTGGGATGAATTGGTTGGTATGATGACATGGTGGAACTTACCAGTGTGCATTGGGGGTGATTTTAATGTGGTTAGGTTTCCTACTGAGAGGTCGAGTGGTGGGAGACTAACAGGGGCTATGGAGGACTTCTCAAAGTTTATTAGTGAGAATATGTTGGTGGATTTACCCTTGATGGGGGGAGAGTTCACTTGGTCATCCAATAGAGACCAACCTATTCAATCCCGAATAGATCGATTCTTGGTTAGCGTTGAGTGGGAGGCTAAGTATGCAGATGTCACTCAGAGGAGACTGGGAAGAGTGTACT